GTGTTTCTGGAACACAAACAACAACTAACTTTTGGTTTATAATAATCTCAGTATGTATCTATTTACATAGCTGTTTAGTCCGTAAATGCTTCTCATGAAGGCTCTTTCCAAAGCACGTAAAGTAACGTAAGGCTATTGCTGTGTGTTTCTCCAGCTTTGGGCTTCCTTTCTGAAGCAAATTAAAGCACAGAAATTCAAACTGACCAGCAGTCCTGGCAATATTTGGAGCTCTAAAAAGAGTGCTAGGATTTTTGATGTTGCTCCCATTACTAACTGGCAACCAAGTTAAAGCTCTTGGGTTAGAGACAATTAGCAAAACGCATGGTTAAGTGATGGTCGTGACTTGTGCTTCGCCAAGAGGGGACAGGTCAAACGATTTGGGTGGAAAATAAAGCCCAGCTCCAATTGGCAACAGGCTCAGCACAACGATCCCCACCTCCTTGTCCTCCCTGTCACTCCGAGCATGTCCTTGGAGCACCTTACAGCACAGCATGGGTCAGTGCCGGGTGGCCAGCCACATCTTCAGGGAGACGTGAGTGACTTACCAGCTCTTGGGAGGGGGGATGAGAGGAGGTGGCCAAGGGGAGGGAGCAACACTCTCCGTGCCTCAGTTTCTTTCGCTGTGGAAACAGCAGCTCTGAGGCCAATTGGAGGGGATGTGCAGCTGGGGATGGGGGGGCTGAGGTTGAGTGCTTGCTGGGCAGCGGGGTGCAGGGAGGGCGGGTGTCCGGGCTGAGCTGCCCGTGCTGGCCCTGCAGTGCAAGAGCTGGCCTGGACGGCGGCGCGGGGGCAGAGCAGAGCCCCGCTGCGGACAGGGCAGAGCCGCGGCGCGGCCGGAGCGGAGCTGTCCGCGGCCGCCGGTGCTGAGCCGCGGTGGCAGCCGCCGCGCTCCCGCGGAACCTGCGCCCCCGTCTCCGTCCGTCGCCGCCCCGCGGAGCTGCCGCGGGAGCCCCGGCAAGTTTCAGGCTGCGGGGAGCGCCCGGAGCTCCTCCGGGAAAGGTAAGGGGAGGGGGGGGCATCCCCGGGACTGGGTGTGGGGGGCGCCGGTTCCTGTAGGTGACCCATGGGCGGGAGGGCAGGGAGCTGAGCCCCATAGCCGTGTCCCTGGGGCTTGGGGGTGATGGAGCACAGCACCGCGGCTGTGCTGCGTGTCCCGGGGGGATACCAGCGGTGCCAGTCGCGGCTGACACCCCCGCTCCCTACCTCGGGCACTGGTGCATGTGTGTGTGCATGGGGCTGCACCCCCACGCAGAGGGGTCATGGGGGTCTAATAGAGGCAGAAAGCAGACTTGTTTTGTCACTGACTGATGGGGAAGGGCAGTCCTAGCACAGGAAAGCACTAACCTACAAAGTGATTTCAGGTAGGGGACTGAGGGCTGCCTTCTTACAGTGCAAATTGTCCTTCAGATACTGAGCAGTCACTCAGCTGTGTTCTTTTCCTCTTCTGTGACTTTTTAAGGCTTGCTTTATTTGCTGGGCAGGCAGCGGTGTCTAAGCTTCTCCTGAGCTAGGTATTGCAGAAATCGATTCCTGTTATGTACTATCGAAAGAGACTGGAGGTCAGCTGAGTTTCCAGGCTCATCAGGTTTCCTCCTCCTCTCCAAGAAAGGCTCAGGCTTCGTGGCACGTTGACTGAAGGAAAGCGACTGTCCAAGTCTGGAGATGAAAAGGGCAAACCTGACAATCATACAATATAAACCACTTGACTTTTCAGACAGACGTGTGGTCCGGCCATTCCAGCCCTGCCAGTGCCCTCCCAGGTGGCAGATACAGACATGGGTTTAGGCTTGATTCTTCCTGTGAATGCAAGAATAGGGTCTGTGATGCAGAACACGAGGGTTTCCTGGTAATGTACCTGTCGCAGCAGCTGCTTGGAAAACTTCATCTCATTTTGAAGTCTGATTAAATTGAGGGGAAAGGAGCTTTCACAGCCTGTCTCTTCTCAGAACAGAGTCAGAGCAATGGAGCTTAAATCAAATTCAACAGCAGCTTTGTATGCCCAAGGACTACGTGGCCAAGCAGTTTGAATTTAAAGGGCTGTGTTGTGCTGGCTGGGTAGATCCCGATGAGATGTTCTCATGTGAAGTCTCTCCCATAGGAATTACAGATTTAGTCTTGAGTGAGCACAGTCATGGGTTTGAAATGTTTTTGAGTTGTAAGAAAACTCCAGCAGCTGTTTCTGTCCAAAATGAACGTGTTTGGTACCCGATACTTGTGCAGGTTGTGACTCTCCACTAAACACGATGGCAGACAGGGATGCTTCCCCCTCTGTCTCACACTCACCTGAGGGAGCAGCTCGGGGTTTGCAGCAGGCAGGTGGAACCAGAACAGGTTTGTGAACTGGCAGGGAAGGAAGTTACTCGCTGTCTTGTTGCTACAAGGGTGAAGACCATGTAAGTACCTTCTGGGGCCAGGTGTGAAGGGGTCCCAGCACCCCACTCACAGAAAAGCTCAGACAAGTGCACCACCTCCTAATTCATCCGGGGAGGGGGGGAAGGCTTTACAGTCCCCCAGTGACAGCAGCAGGGGCAAGGCTGAGGTTTTTGCAGTGGTTTCTGTACTGATCCTCACTTGCTGTGCTGCACAGAGCTACAGGAAGTTTACAGGTTCCAGTCTGTGATTTACTTTCAGACACAAAAATTCTCTCTCTCCGTATTCCTTTAGAATGGATTTATTGTCCCTGTGTCAATGACATCAGCAGATCTATCAGTGCAAGAGATGCCTTTTTATCATTTCCTGTATTACAAGGAGAGACGTCTGCTTTACAAATAGCTCAAGCACAATCATAACAATAAGGTCTATCCCAAGTAATGCGCCAGAAATAGGAGTTCATCTCCCCTGCATCACTGTTACTTTTTTGCCAGCTTGATCTCACAGTACACTTGTAGCTCCCTTGATGTATTGATGGAGACCTGCCAGTGGGCTGAAGGAAATAAAGTCCTCAAGCTTTGCCAGTTCTCTCCTTCCTTTGCTGCGTGTGTGCGTGCACGCCAAGGAGCAGGAACAATTCCTTCCAGACTGTTTATGCTGGGCCTTGCCCTGTCTCATCCCCAGTGCAGCTGTGTGACCATGGTCCCTCCTTTTTCCCAGACTCCGTGTTCTTAATACACGGGTGCTTTGGTAACGCATCTCAGAGGGGTGGTGTGTGTCCTGTGTTCAGCATTGTCTGCCTCCAAGGGCTCTTGAGGAAGGCTGAAATATGGCTTAGGGGAGATCTATGCATTATGTGAATTTCAGGAATGATTTGCTCAGCCCTAAATGAAGGTTGTTTCTAATTAGGTTAATGAAGGACGTCATTCTCATGGCTGGAGTGACTCGGTCTGGTACAGAGAGGTATAAATCACCTGTCCCTGTGCATAGACACTCTTTAATATCCGAAGAGCACAGGAGAGTAAGAGGGATGATGTTCACTGGGCTGTGAAGCATTGAGCTCCATCTGTGGGGGAGATGAACCCATAGCCCTGTTTCACCATTGGCGCTGTGTCCCTTGGCCCACCCATGGTACAGAGGGGTTGCCCCTTGCCAGCACCTCCGCATCTACTCTTCTCTGCACCAGCTTTGCTCCTAGGGTGAGTTTTCCAGGCTCCCATTCCATGGGATGTGGCTCCACATGGCCCCTTGGCTGGGTCTTGCCCAGCTTGCTCTGTCCCATCACCAGCTCTCATCACCAGAAGCTGCACCTCTCTTCCTTGCACTCTGCTGCATATAGAGGTGGGCAAAGCAACAAGCAATGCTGAAGACACTTGTGTGTCCAAGTGCTGTAACTCAGTGCCCTAGGCAGAGCTATAACCACTTGACAGCACGTTCATTCATCCCAAAGGCGCAGGCTCACAATGCACACAACCAAAATGTGCCTGTGGGAGCTTTGCCCACCTTTCATCTGTTTGTAGTTAAGAAGAAAGAGTCACATTCTCAAGAAACTCAGAAGCTCATGAATGTGTAGCAAAACCTCATCCCTCCTTCCCTCACATCCACAGTGTCACACTGTGGGTCTAATAACTTGGTGGTTTTCTAATATATTTAACCTTGGCATCAATTCAAATGCTTTGGCACACAAGGAAGGGAGAGGTGGGCTCCTCAGGACATTCATCATAGGAAACACATTGAGATTGGATTTTCGTTAGCTGTGAAATCAAATATTCTGAAGCAGCTTTTTCACCTTGACAGTTAAGAATATGCATCAGTGATGTTCCCATCCTGCCTTGCTCCTGATGTGCTGGTGAGCAGGGATCCCCGTCTCCTCAGAAACCTTTTAGAGGGTGGCCTGGAAAAGGGAGAAGTTGGGCTCCAACCTCTTCTGCTTTCTTGTGACGCAGCAGTCTCCTCAGAGAACTTTTCTGCAGCATCCCATCAGTTCTGCTTCTTCTCTTCAGCTATAGCCTTAGACCCCATGGCTGGCTGGCAGCCTGCTGTCTGCCCCCCACTAAAGCCCAGGTTTGCCATCGATGCTTTTTCCTAAGATAAAATGACTCGCAAGGTTTTAAACAAAACCTCAACACAAGCCCCATTATTTTGCTATTCCCTATGAGTCACTGCGTGGTACGGTGAGGATTTGAGCACTGGGACAAGATTCACACAGGGCAAGTGAAGGAAGTTGAGGGAATGTTTCCCTTTTTCTTGCTAGGGGTTTCCAGTACTCACTGGGATTGTCAGTGCAAATCTCAAGGGAGAACTTCCACTGGACGGTTGATAAAAGGAAAGGTCCAGCTTGAGCCCTGGGTATGAAAGCATTTGCAAGGGGCTCCCATTGCATGGTCAGCACCAGGTGCCCAGGAGCATCCTTTTATTGGAATGATTGATCTCATGAAGGGAGAAATCATTTCCCAGCCCTGGAGCCCCTGTGCTCCCCTCCTAGGTGATGTTGTGGTTTCCCTGCAGCCAGCAGTGTGTGCTGGATGCTCAGAGCCCGGCTTGCACCGGGCTGTAACCTTGCAGGAGCTGTGCTGCTTTCTGCAGGCTGCCCCTGCAGAGGACACACGCTGAGAGCCCAGGGCCTGGAGCTACAGCCCTCAGAGCAGGTAACAACAGTTTTGTTATTGCCTTAATGTCTGCTGGAAGATGAGCCCAGCACAGACCAGGGCGAGGAGGGACAGTTTAAAGCTCACCTCTGTGCTGGGGTCTTTGTCTGGGATGGATTGGCTTTGCCGGGGACTCCTGTTCATTGATTCCCCAAGCTCCCAGGGAGCAAATAGGAAAAGGCACCCAGCTGGACACCGGCACGTCCCAGTGCCTCGGCCAGGCAGGCAGGGAGGAGCTTCCCAGAGCTGCGGGTGCCATCAGTCACGCTGAGGACACAGAGAGGGGACAGTCACCTTCAGCATAAACCTGTAAGGGAAAAGCCTGAGAGCAGCTGGCGAGCCAAGCGCTGAGATGCTTTTAGTGCAGTGCCAGTGCAGAAAGATGAGGCAGTGAATGCCCAGAGCAGGCTGAGGGATGGTGTGCAGCTCCCCAAGTTACTAGGAGCTGGGGTAGTTTCCTGCCTAAACCCTTTTCCCTCTAGGCAGAGCTCAGAGTGGATCTTGGCTCATTGCTGCTCAGACCCACACCTTGAGTGCGCTGGTACTTACACTGTGTAGATGTTTAAGGGGATGGCCAGGGAGTTTGCATGGAGCAGCTGGAAAGCCCAAGCGAGCGGACGGTGGTTACAGTGACTTCTCACGGGCAGCATCTGCTGCTGTGGAGCCGCGCTGAGAGGGCTCAGTTTTCTGTGCTGTGACCCTGTGAGATGAATAGGGAGAGGGGAGGGAGGGTGTAAAGCAAGCATCTTGTGAGTTATGTTAACAAAGGAAAGCAAGTTCATGCCCATGAACTGTACCTGGTAAACGAGGACATTCAAATGTGTGACACCCCAGTGCCAAAGCAGAACTGAGAAAGCAATGTTCCCCAGCCAGGAAAGTGTATGGAAAAACAGATCAGTATGCGTCTACCAAGTGTGTGCTGGGTTGGCAAGGAGAAGTCCTCCAAGCCAAGTTGCTGCTCTGACACCAGCACTGTATTATTTAAAGTGGGAAGCCTCTAAGATGCAAATGTTAATGTTTTCCTTACATATTTTAGCAGGCAGCTATTAAAAGGAAATGAATTAAATGGCCAGACATCAAACTGTGTGTACAAAATACAGTGCATGCAAAGCTGTGGTGCTGTATTTGTATGTGCTGCTGACAGGACAGGAGATGTTTGGTATGTTCAAGTACAAACTAGCTGTGCGGCTGTCAGCCTGTCTGGGCAATCACACTGCTTGGTGCTTTTCCTCATAGGTGCTTGCATATCAAACCCCTGGCAGATAACAGCTGGAGTTTAGTTTCTTGGTAAAGCACACGCTGTTGTTCAATGAGTGCTTTGTTCTGCACAACAAAAGACTGCAAAAATCACTGCTGCAGTGGTCATTTCTCCAGAAGTGAAGTTCATGGCAGGAAGCTCTTTTGTAGTAGGAAACCCTGACAGAAGCGGTTAGACAACCTGGCTGTGTGTGTTTGCCTTCACAATGTCCATGCAGTGCCACAGACCAGGCTTCCCAGACCCAGGCAGGAGGATGGGGCCAGTGCAGGGCCTCTTTCTCATTGCTAAAAGCCAGTAAATGAGCTGGGGAAGGAGGCCAGTGGTGCCCAGCTTCCTGAGCGCCTCTGTCAGTTGAGCAGAAGGATGTCAATGGACCTTAATTTAAAGTCACATTTGCACCAAGCTGTCAAACCAGTAACGTGGGCAGAACAGGTCTCAAGGAGCCTGCCAGCAGCACAAGGGCTTTGGCCATGTCTACTAGAGCGAGCAAGGCGAAACCGGGGTTGCTGTTGCTCCTTCTGTCTTCAGTGCATGACACCTCTTTCTGTCCAGCACACACTGGCCAGGACTGCTCTGCACAGACCACTCCTCTTGCTTTCCACCACCTCTGTTCACAAGGGGAGCAGGAACCATCCAGGGAGGCCTGAAGTTCAACAAAGCGAACTGAGGAGCATGGATGACCATTGCAGCTCCCATTAACAAAAGAATTAACCAGCATCCTGCCTGGTCTGCAGAGACAACTCCATCATACTCACGGTGTGTAGGCAGCAGCCATAACAATATTTGATTGCTTAACATCAGATGCTTGAGATAGGCTCACTGAAAAGTAGTAAATGTGAGCTGTAAACATGCTATAGGTTGTGTGCCCACCTAACCCAAGAAAGCCATGAAGTAAACCAGAGGAACCATTACCCATCTGTATTTGGCTGTATGGGCCAGTAACACAGAAACTATTGACAGGATCTCTTGGCACCAATTGAACGCCAATTAGAGTCTTAACATGCAGTTACACTCAAAGCTAGTTTACTCGTTACTTTAAATAGCTCCATCTATCTGAAGGCAGCCTTGGATGAGAGGTGGGCATTTTCACCTCAGTACAGGTAACAAGGGGAGTTGCTCTGTGAAGTCCATGTCAGCAGAGCTGGGGTTCCATCTCCCATGGTTCTTGGTCCATGTGATAGCTCCTAAACCACCTCACAGCAGTTTTTCATTCACCTCCTCCCCATAAGTCTAATTCCCTGTTCCAGCTCAGTGTGTCCCTATGAAGACGAGGTGATGGGGCAGGAATGAGCAGCCTGTTGGCACTTGTGAGGGTTAAACCGAGCCATGGCTGCTCCTGCTCCCTGGCAGGGCAGTTCTCAGTTCTCCCGCAGCATGCAGGGAGGAACCTTGGTGAAGAAGGCAGGGATACTGCATGCATTAACCATCCCAGCAAGCAAGCTAACAGCTATTGAAACATATAATTAAACCATTATTTTCTCTCACCCCATCTTCTTTATTTTACCTGAACACAGTATTTTTCCATTTATTTGTTATCAGTGAAGGGAGTGAATATCCTGAAACACGTCTGCTGTTCTGCTCTACTACCCCCTATTAACTTCCTGAGCACTTGGGAACCTTTGGCTCAGCTGCACAAAATAACAGGGAAACTAATTATACTGATAAAACTCAATGACTGAGTCAGGCACCCTGAGAAAGGGAATGACTTTTTACTACTATTCTTTTTGTGTTAGTACACGTGTTCACTCTCACGTTCTTCACCGCCTGCACTGCACAGCAGGGATCACGTTTAGTTACAGCTTAAGAAGGAAGGTCCCCACCAGGAGCAGTGATGCCGGGGGTGACAATTCCATTGTTTCCCTGGCTGTGGGGTCTCCTGGGTCTGGGATTCAATGAGCAGCTTGGTCCAAGTCCCTTTGCCTGCATGGCCCTTCTCACACACACAGCGCACATCTCACAGTAGAGGCAGTTGCATGCTGCCGGGACGGCACAGGAGCAGCTCCTGGCTGCATCGCAAAGAGAGTTTGGGCCAAGCCTCTCTGGACACAGGGATGGTGGAGACATGTGAAGGACCCCACAAGCCTGGAAGAGGTGGGTACTTTGCAGACATGAAGCCTCCAGCTCCGAGCAGCCGACCCCCATGTGCAAACACACAGCGTCTGCTGCAGTCAGCGCATGGCTGAGACTCAGAGAAGATTTAGACCCAAAGGCCAATGCTAATCAGTAAACCCTGTAACTGAAGGAGCAGTAATCAAGTGAGATTACAGCCTGATCCTGTCATCAGCCCCCTGCCCAGCCGGTTCGGTCAGCGCTGCACCAGCATTAACAAAGCCACCTCCCGCAGTGGTGGGGCCATGCGGGCTGTGTGCTGCTGGCTCCCTTGTAGTGCAGTGCCAGGAGCATGTCACAGAGCTGCCCTCGGAAGCCAGGCACTCCTTCATTAGCCAGCCTTCACTCTCACTTGTGTTTGTATCTTGCTTTGCAGATGGGAGATGCGTCCAACACCTCCGTGTTCATCTCCACCTTATCGGAGAGAGAAGACCTGATTTTTGGCACGCTCTACTTGGTTTTTGGTAAGGAAAGACAGCCTGTTATACTTGTGTCCCTGCTGCGGGCTGCCCAGGGGCCTGCCTGACAGAGACAGTCAGGCCTTTTGTCGTCACTGGTGCTTCTAGAAGTGTTCAGTCATTAGCAGCACCATCAAAATGGTCCTTCCCACATTACTCATAAAGGATGATCTGACCAAAGCTGGGTGGCTGCATTCACATCTCCAGGGAATTGCAAGTACCAGTAATGGTTTTAAGTGTTTGGAAAGTTGAAGAACAGCCTTTTAGAAACATGCAGCCACCTGATGTGAGATGGATAGGGACTCTGTGTTAGCATTGCCAGCTTCATGACTGTTGAAGGTGATTTAGACCTCAGGCTGGTCCTTGCTTTCAGCACAAGGTGCTGGTGAATGTCCTGTGATTTGGAGTTAGTGGCACTGAATGGCCAGCAGGCAAAACTGAGGGGCTAGGATGTGCTCTGAGGTAGCCTGGACATGGTTGGTGTGGATCAGAAGTGAATGATGGGCAAAGGAAAGCCTCCCAGTTTCCTTAGCCCTGAGCATTTTGTCTCCCGGGTGTTTCATGCCTATGAGGATGGGGAAGCCAAGGGATGCTCACATCCCTCGGACTGCGAACAGTCCTCTGTGCACCTACAGCTCCTAAGTGTTAGTACAGCCACTAAAATGTACTTATGTGAGACTAGTTCTGTGGGAAAAATGCCTCAAGAGGTTGGGGAGGACAAACACCTCAGTGCTCTACCCTCCAGCGATTCCAAAGCCTCCAAAGCTCTGGATTTGGCCACGTTCTGTGTGGGAATCCTGTTCCTGAGGGAAATTTCAGCAGCTCTGAGAGCTGGTTCTTACCATGGTATTTAATTTACAGTCTAAACCATTAGGTAGAAACTCTCATCCCACCCAACCTGCCCCAAGAACAGCAAAGATTCCCCTTCTGAGGACAATGAAACCTCTTTGCAATGAAAGCACAATTACATAGTGAAAAAGGTGAGAAAGCTCTCGTTATAAAATGTTAATCACCGCTGTTGTTTTAAATACATGAATAGCAAAGAGCCTGCTTTTGTTTAGTCTGGATTTTCCTTGATCTTCACAATGCCTTTCTTGTTGTTTATTTTGTTACTGTGATATTGGATAACACAGACCCACAGGAGTGACATTGCCAGGAAGAAATTAAAGAGACGAAGGGGCCCAGCTCCTTGGCCTCACATCAGAAGAGAAATCACACAAAGCTCCTGTTATTTATCTAGCTGGAAGGAAGTGCCCCCTCGCTCCTTCCAGCTGGAAGAAGCGACTCTGGCCAGATCCTGCACCCGGGGCCCACTGCAGTCTCATCCCATCCCTGCCCTCCTACCAAACGCCTCTGTAGGACTTCAGGAAGGGGAAGGGATCAGATTCAATGTGAAGCAGCTCCAGATGTGCTCACAGAGCTCTGCAGGTCCCACGGGCTCCCCTGCTCAGCCCACTCCAGACAGGGAAGCCTGGAGCCCTTTCCACCCTCTGTAGACATCTCCGGTGTTTGCTTCCAAACATCTCAAGATGATCCTGGCTCCTTTCCCGGCTCTGCTACGTACAGCACTGTTCCTCTGCCTTGTCTGCAGGCATCATGTCCCTCTTTGGGAACTCGCTGCTCCTGCTGGTGGCCTATCGGAAGAGGTCCATGCTGAAGCCTGCTGAGTTCTTCATCGTCAACCTGGCCATCAGCGACCTGAGCATGACAGTGACGCTCTTCCCCTTGGCTGCCTCATCCTTCTTTGCACACAGGTACCTTGTGGAGGCAGCTCTGCACTGGCAAACAGCCCTGGGTGCGTTTTGGTATTGAAATGGGGAGATTCCTGGCAAGGGGTATGGATGGGCTCATGGGGTCAGTCTGGTGGCACTGTGGCACTGTGTAACCTCACAGGCATCCATCCCACAGCAGGGTGCTTTGCTGTTCCCTGTCCCTCAGGTTTACCACTGCTGTTAAAGGGGTTTGGTGGTGGGTTAGGGTGGGTTTCCCATGCGGCGTGGGCATTGCAGTGATGTGTGCTGGTGTGCATCAGGGCACTCCTGTACCCAAGGCTCCATCTGTGCTCGTCACTGGGATGCTCAGGGAACAAATTAGGGCAAGATCATGCCCCTTTTTGGGTCAGTCAGGAGCTGGTACATGTGCAGCCTGTTACAGCCACCCCATGCAGGGCCGGCTTTGTGGGACCAGCAGATGGGAAATACCCAGAGCAGGGACCAGGGTGAGCATCCCCATGCAGGGGGTGGGCAGGGGCTGCTGGCCGTGGCCCTGGGCGCAGGGCAGGGCTGGGGTTACCGCAGGCTTCCCCTTGCAGGTGGCTGTTCAACCAGGCCGTCTGCACCCTCTACGCCTTCTGCGGGGTCCTGTTCGGGCTGTGCAGCCTCAGCAGCCTCACGGTGCTCAGCACGGTTTGCTGCCTGAAGGTCTGTTACCCAGCATACGGTAAGTGCTGGCTGTGCTATCTGATCTGTGCTCACACCCCTCTCTGTTAACTTAAACCTTTGTGTTTTATGGGCCAGATCCACCTCTTCTGGGAAGACTCTGCCCCAGGGCAGCCTATTCCCAGTCAATACACAGGGTCATAGGAAAGTTTAGGTTGGAAAAGACCTTAAGATCATCAAGTTCGACCATTAACCCAGCACTAAACCACTAAACCATGTCAGTAAGTGCCACATCACTTAAATACCTGGACAGCCTGTTGCAATGCTTGACAACCCTTTTGGTGAAGCAGTTGTTCCTAATCTTCAGTCTAAATCTCCCCTGGCATAACTGGAGGCCTTTTCCTCTTGTCCTATTGCTTGTTACCTTTCATGTAGATGTAGAGAGCAAGGTCTCCCATGAGCATCCTTCTCTCCAGGCTGAAGAACCCCAGTTCCCTCAGCTGTTCCTCATCACACATGTGCTCCAGACCCTTCACCAGCTCCATTACCCTTCTCTAGACATGCTCCATCACATCACACTTGCGCTTAGACTAGAGCAGACTCTGCCTCTGGGAAGCCACAAGCTCTGGCATTGCAAGAAGAGCTGCTTTCCCTTGGCCCAGGTGGGAGAGCCACAGGCCAAATGTATTTAATTCACTGAAATAATTACTACAGAAGGGCTGGGTTTGCAGTGTTGCCACTCACTTCTGTAGCCCTGTTTTTACCAGGACCTCCTCTGCAAAGCTAATGCGATGTTTGCAGCTCTAAGCTTGGGCACCAGCTCTTTGGAGAGGGCCTGCACTGCAGAGAACACCTGAGGGAGTGAGGGGACACGGGCATGTCCCTGTACATTTACAGCTCCTCCTGTTTGGAGCTGCTTCTTCACTTCCTCAGCCCAGCTGCCAACCCCCCATCTAGGACCTATCTTCAGAACAGACTTTGGGTTAACGGCCAAAACCAGGAATAGAACGTGAAATCAAAGATATGGGTTTGATTTCCGGACCAGCCCCAGGGCGCATCCTCACCCCTCTCCCATGGCTTGCTGCTGCCTGCCCTGAGCCTGCGGCTCTTGCCAACCACCAACCTGCTTTGTGCAGCAGCCTCAAGGACGATGCTGGAGAGCTGGCACCTCCCTTATGTGCCAGCACAACAGCTTAGGAGATCACTCTAAAGGTGGAAGGAAAGATAAAGGTAAAAGTGGGCTGTTAAAACACAGCCCGGGTACCCTGGCTTTTCCCTGCACAGGTTCTGCTCTACATTAGCTGGCACTGGCAGCCTGGCGCATGGAGTTTGTCTCCCTGTGACACCCCAGTCCTTTGTGCATGAGGAAATGACTAATTTCAATGTGGTTTTAATTGCTTGGTTTCAAAGAAAAATGTTACTCCCATGTATGGCTGAAGGTGCAGCTCTTTATACTGAGCTCTCAGAAGATCAGGGAGGTTTATATTTGACAGGGGATGGGGCAGAAAGGAAGAAGCCCCTCCTCTCCCAGGGTTTCAGTCTGCCAGAGAGGAAAAGAGCCTTCCAGTGACAGTGGAAGCATTCAAAAACATGTAGATGAGGCCGTTAGTGACATGGTTTAGGTGGTTTTAGTAGTCCTGGGGTAATGGTTGGATTTGATGCTCTTCAAGGTCTTTTCCAACCTGGCTGACTCTATGATTCTCTGTCCCCCCACATTCCATCAGTGGCCACACGACCTCTAGCAATTCCTCCCCCAGCAGAGAGACTCTGCCCTGCTGGTCCTCAACCCTGAGTGGTTTATGGCAACCCCTCATGTTTCTCTTGGTTTGTTGTTCTGGCCACCCCAAGGGCTGGGGGGGTACCTGTGCATCCTGGGGTGCTGGGGTGAGCACTGGCATGGCTCTGCCTGCTCCATGGCTGCAGCACTGCCCTGCTCAGGGAGCCTGTCTGTGTCCCACAGCAGTCGGCCCCATCCCCTGTGCCTGGGCAGCTCAGGGTCCCCAACCCCACTCTCTGCTCCCCTTTACCCATGGGAACCCATCCTCACCCTGACCCCTGTGTTGCAGGCAACAAGTTCTCTCCCTGCCACGCCGGAGTGCTGCTGCTCTGCATCTGGGCATATGCCCTCATGTTTGCCACGGCCCCCTTGGCCGAGTGGGGCAGCTATGGCCCTGAGCCCTACGGGACAGCCTGCTGCATCATGTGGAACGCCTCGAGCAGGGAGGCCACGCTCTACATCCTTGCCCTCTTCATCTTCTGCTACCTTCTCCCCTGCCTCCTCATCCTCGCCTCCTACTCGCTGATCCTCTGGAGGGTGCGGGGGTCCCGCAGAGCCGTGCGGCAGCACACGTCCCCCCAGCGCAGAGCCCGCAGCGTGCACAGCCTGGTCGTGAAGGTAGGGGAGGCCCCGGGGTGCTGCGGGGTCTGGGGGTGTCCCCAGCCCAGCACTCCCTGGGCAGGTGCGTGTGGCAGGACCCCGTCCCCAGGTGTTTGTATCAGTGCGGGGAACAGCACGTTTCTCCTCATTTAAAGCCATCAGGTGGAGGAGATTTCAGTTTCAGCTGCATTGGGAAAGACCATAGGAGCAGCCTGATGAGTCATTGCTCCCCAGGCTACAAGCAGTGCTGTAGCTTACCAAGGACATGTCAAAAAAAAAAGGTGGGTATCCTTTAAAAAAGCCCAAATGTAAAAGAAAGCAGCTTGGAAACCTGGCCTGCAAGGAGAGGTTTGTGTCTGCTTAGAGGAGGTGGTCTGAGCCTGACCCGTTTCCAGAGCCTCTCGGTTGGTCTGCATACCAGGTCCAAGGAGGTGATCCTGCCCCTCTGCTCTGCTCTCGTGAGACCTCACCTGGAGTATTGTGTGCAGTTCTGGTGTCCTCAACATAAAAAGGACATGGAACTGTTGGAACAAGTCCAGAGAAGGGCCACAAGGATGATGAGGGGGTTGGAGCACCTCCTGTATGAAGACAGGCTGAGAAAGTTGGGGCTGTTCAGGCTGGAGAAGAGAAGACTGCGTGGAGACCTCATAGCAGCCTTCCAGTATCTGAAGGGGGCCTATAGGGATGCTGGGGGGGGACTCTTCATTAGGGACTGTAGTGATAGGACAAGGGGTAACGGGTTAAAACTTAAACAGGGGAAGTTTAGATTGGATCTAAGGAGGAAATTCTTTCCTGTTAGGGTGGTGAGGCACTGGAATGGGTTGCCCAGGGAGGTTGTGAATGCTTCATCCCTGGCAGTGTTCAAGACCAGAGCCTTGGGTGGCATGGTTTAGTGTGAGGTGTCCCTGCCCATGGCAGGGGGGTTGGAACTTGATGATCTTAAGGTCCTTTCCAACCCTAACTATTCTATGATTCTATACTGACTGCTGGAGGGAGGTTGAGTGCTTCCAAAGGGCTGTTGGACTCAGCTGGCCTGGTCCAAACCTGCGTCCTTTGTACCCATCTGACACCCACTGGGCTGAGGCAATTTCTGTGTTTCCCAGGTGGGACAGGGTGTGAGTTGCGGGGAGTGCAGGTTTATGCACCACACTGGGACATGCTGAGTCACTGTGCTGATGTCTGACACACCAGAGCTCCAGTGGGATGGGTCAAGAAGGCTCAGCACCTTTCCTTTGGGATGTGACCAACTGCTTGGGGTCCTGTTGCACATGGCTGAGTTCTGGGGGGGGGTCAGCATCCTGCAAGTGCACAGGAGGCTCACGGCACCACCATCTCCTCCTGTTCCAGCTGAGCATCGCCGTGTGCCTGGGGTTCCTGGCTGCCTGGACCCCTTACGCTATCGTTGCCCTGTGGGCAGTGCTGGGTGATGCCAGCCAAGTGCCAGCGCTTGCCTTCGTGCTCTCGGCCGTCTTTGCCAAGTCCTCGACGCTCTACAACCCCCTGGTGTACCTGCTCTTCAAGCCCAACTTCCACAAGTTCCTCTCCAAGGATGCGGTGCTCCTCCAGGCCATGCGTACCCTGCTCTGCTGCGGCTGCCCCAGCGCTGCACTCCAGCCCTTCCCATCCCCGGCCTTCGGGGACCACCCCGGGGCTTGCAGGAGCTGCAACGACACCTTTGAGTGCTTCAGTAACTACCCCAAGTGCCACAAGCCCGCGCGGGCGCCCGGCTCCTCGCCCCGCTGCGCACCCCTGGCCATGCTGGCCGATGGGGCTGCGTGCCCGCCGCGGCTGAAGAGGACGGTGCAGGTGATGGTGCTTGTCACCAGGAGAAGGTCGGGCCTGAGCGCTGTGAACGTGGTGGGGGAAGCTCTGCCGTCGGATATCATGAAAGACCTTCTCTGAGCCCGGCCTGCATCCCACCGGGGCACTGGGGGATAAACCCAAACCCAGCTCTCACCTGTGTATCCACTGGGTCCCCATCATGTTCTGCAGATGAAGTGACGTCTAACACCACCCTTGCCTCCTCCTCTGCTCTGGCTCTTGCAGCTCTGAGCCGAGGCTCTGCACTTAGAGAAACCAAACAAAACACCAAACCCCAGTGCCTGGAACTGGCCCAGGGGGCAAGTCCAGGGTCCAGTTTATCCCGTGCCTTGCTCTCTGGGCCCTTGGCCTTTGTTTCTCCATCCTGGTGCTCGGATGACCAAGTAGGAACTTGGTTGTCTTAAGAAACTGTGCTTGGCAGGGAGGGCCCAAGAGGTGTCCTACCTCCAGCGCCAGCTCCCGCTGACCATGTCCTTTCCCAGACGGGAGCAGGACGGTGCTGCTCAGCTACCTCACTTGGGATTATGAAGCATCTTGATATACCTCTCAAGAGACCACTCTGCAGGCTGTCTAACCCCACTCCCTCGGTTCGAACACAAACCCACCACCATCATATAGATCGAAATGGGAGCTTGTCTTTAGAGTAAGGTTTGGGGTTGCAATAATCCTGGTGTGAGTAATAGCAGCACCAGGTCGTGCTCTCCAGGCAGGGAATTGCAGATCTGTGGCCAAGCATCATCCTGGAGACAGGGCAGAAGCTGAGTGAGACAGTGCTGAGGGAGGCTGGTTATGTCCCAGATATTAATCAATGCATTCAAGGTGATGGGAAGAGTCAGCAGCAGTGGTAGGAAACACGCTGCCCACCAGCACCCAGCCAGCCAGTTACTCGTGGGAGTGCTTTATGTTGTCTCTGGTTAATGAATGAAATGGCACCACAACCCATTGCCAGGGCTGCAGCATTAAGTCATGGATGTGCTATGTGGGAATAGTGACCTGTGTCTGCATGGACACGGGAAACAGCCGCTGCCCCAATGCCATCACTGCCTGTGCTCTGCCTGCCCGCTGACCCCCGGCTCCCCCTCTTCTCTCCAGACACCAGTAGTGCTGGTTTCAGCCATTGCTGTAGAACCAGGATCTGTCACTGCCTTTGCTTAGCACAGGCACAGCAGGGTCCTCTTTTCCAAGGACTCACAGCACCTCAAGGAAGACTTGATAGCTTCAGGGTGTGCAGAAACACAGAGGGAAGGGGATGCTCTTGGTGGGGGGCAACAAACAACAGATTCATTTAAGCTACAAACTTAAACCTAAGCATGAAGAATACCGAGGGTTTTGGGCCTCAATGTTTGGGCTCAGTTCCAGAGTAGGAGGCAATGGAGCCAGTGTGAGCTCTGTGCTGGGGAGGGTGGTTGCTGCATGTAAGTGTGCTGTGTGTGCCATCACTACCTGTTGCTGCTGCACAGCTCTCATTAGCACACAGCAGTCATGCTCTTGCTTTTGTCCCTTGGTCGTTTCCCCTGATGCACCTGAACTGGCTGTTTCCCTGTAACCAGAGAGGGTCCTCTGTACCTCTGGGGTGCTCCTGCATCTTCCCAGGATGGTTTTGCCCACGTGTGATAGCTGCAGGCGGTCGGGGCAGGGTTTATGCCCAAGAGCCAAGTAGTACCTGAAAAGCCATGCAGGGAGCAACGCTCCTGCCTTTGCTCCCTATTCCTGTCATGCAAAAACCCACACCCAGCCCCGACACGGACCGTGTTTGCAAAGGAAGGGATTAAAATCAGGAGGGAGGACGGGGTTTCCAGCGAGGGTGCAAGTCACTGGGTCACTGCCCTTCCACCCACAGCATGGGGCTGCCCCATCTCCAGGGCACTGTGGCACGCAAGGGAATCACACGGGGTCACTGCTCGCTGGTCATCACATTCCAAATACTGTGCATTGTTAAAGTAAACTCGCTCGTGCAAGACTGGCGTTTGACTTGGCTCACTTACGTGTTAGCGGCCGTGCTCCGGGGTAAATGGGGATCTCACTTCTGCTGCGCATGGTCGGGATGGGAGCGCTGCTGCTGTGGGTGAGCGACCACAGAGTCGGGGCATGGCCCATGGGCAGGGCTGTGGGGACTTGGGGCCAGCAAACTCCCTTCCTCAGCCAAGCCTGGCTGTGGCTGCTGCCCATCGCTGCCCTGGGTGGACAGGAGCCTCCAGAAAGGTGACCAAGGGCTGGTTTCCTACCGGAGGACACGGATATAAAAAGCTGCCACCAACTCCTGGGGCCCCTCAGGGCCACCTTGGGATGGGGCCAAGGACAAGACCCCAGTCAGGCTGGGGCTTTGGGCTGTGATGGGCTCAGGGTCATGGCGTGGTCCAGCCACTGATGCAGCGCCTGGTCCCTGCCTTGGTTACAGCCGCTTTGTTCCTTGCTGCCTAAAACATACCGAGGTCCCGACATCACCTGCAGACAGGAAAAGAAATAGCCTGCAAATTCCCCCATCCTTTATTGCTGAAGGGAAACCCCAGATCAGGACCTTCATCTGTAGTTTGGTGATGGAACAGACAACGTTGAATAGTGGAACACTGGGTGGGCTTTAACCTACATTCATAGAGATGCTCCTGCTGGTGGGGAGGCCAGGCAAGCACTTAGCAAATCCCAATCATTTTCATTAACTCCAGCAGGTCCAGGGGCTCTCCCCAGCATGACCTGGGGCTGCTGTAACCCAGGTCCTCCTGCCTGCCAGGCTGGAGCCCTTGAGCCATGGCACGATGGGTGCTGATGCAATCAGTGTCTCCAGCTGGGAATGGTGCCATCAGGTGCTGCCAATTCACCAATTGCACGGGGATAAGAGCCCACCCCCAAGGGCATCTCCAGTGAGGTGAGGCTGTTGCTGTGAGGAGGATGTGGCTTCACCCTTGGGGCTGAGGTAGGTCTGTGCTGGGTAGGGTTTGGGGGTGATTGCTGGGTGTCAGAGCTGATTCCTTGAGTTTCTGGTGCTGCTGCAGCCTCATCATCGGCTCTGAGTGGGTGGGAAGAGGCTGCAGGGCTGTGTGGCTGCTTGGTGGAGCCTGGCCCTGGTGAATGAACAAGGCAGGGCTGCCCTGGTTTGGCTTTGGTGCCTGGGCAGGTGTGCTGTGGTTGCTGTGTTTCACACTTGGTGCTGCCACGTGTGCCTTTCACCAGCGATGGGTTTATTTTCACATAACCATCCTATTCCAACCTCAATTGGTCTCTTGAGGCTGAAGGTGCTGAGGCAAGTGCAGACATGTATGCCCCATTGATCTATACGTAACCAGTGTATAGTTACTAACAGTGTAGTCTGAGCTAGTGACTCCTTGCATCCAGACCCTTTGTACCTCTGAAGTCACTGGTTGCACAGAGCTGACAGTGCACCTTGCCTTCTGGTGTCTGTGCTCTGGCTGTGCCATCTCCTGTGGCCCATTCTCCCCAACAGCATCTCTCAGCCATAGTCTGTGCCATTGAGCTTTAAATGCAGCCCCATGAGTGAAAACCTCCCCTCTGGTGTGGGTGACCTGGCCTGCAGGGTGCAGGAAAAGAAAGGTGTTTAACACACAAAGCTCAGAGCCCTGGTCTCCAAAGGTTCATCTCCTGAATGGCACGTCACATCCATTGCTTTTGGTCCTCCTATGGCAGTCTTTAAGCCAGGCTGTACAAACAGCCTGTAGGTGCTTTGATGTTTAAACTAAATGACACTCAGTGTGGATGAGTTCAAAATGACATCTCCATCATGATGGAACAGAGGCACGGGGAGCTGGAGGTGTTTGTGTTCGGCTGGTGAGTCACGAGCAGGCTGGGGCCAGGGCAGAGATGGGGCTCAGAGATGGCGCAGGTTGAATGTAACCCAGAGCTGTGTTAAGGATTGTTCCATCTGTGACTGTCACAGCTGTATTGGGATGCGGGGTGCCCCCAGATGTGTCACTCTGGAGCACACGCGAGCAGTGATGCGTCTGCAGGAGGGATGCTGGAGTCACATCACGTTCTCTGTTGTCTCTTGTGGATGAGACCTGGGAGCTCTCGCCCGCAGGGGTGGCTGGTGCTGGAGCAAGCCTGGACCATGCTCAGAGCATCATCCCAGCCCTGCCTGGCACAGGGCTTGCCCTCAGCCTGGCTGGTCTGACCATAGCTTTAGCAGCTCCAAGACCTTGCAGCTCACAGGGCTGCTCACTGGCTTTGCAGACAGTATCTCGGCTAGTGGGGAAACTGAGGCACAGATTGTGCCTGTGAGCTGGCAGTGATGATGCAGCAGGGGGTTTGCTGTCCTTGAGCTGTGGAGTGAAACCTGGTGAAAGCCCCTGCTGGTCTGGGGAATGGGATGGGCCCAAGGCATGGGCAAATAAATTCTTGGAGTCTTAGGATTCCCCCTCCTTCTCCTTTGCATGGGGCCTTGGTCATCAGGAGGAACAGCCACTGGGTTTGCTGTCTGACAGAACATCAGGGCTCTGCAAATAGTACTGTCCATTGTACTTCCTGGTGCCTCTGCTTTTAAGGGAGCATAATAAAATCAGGTTTACTCTTGCACAGATCTGTAGATGGCACCAAGTTCGAATGGGGCTGCTGGGATTTGTGGGAAGAGGATTAGAGTTTAATACTGGCCTGGTAAAATAGGAAACTCTGCAGAAGTTACTGCAAGGCAATATGGAGAGAGAGTTTTTGTTTTCTGAGCATATTGAGTGAAGCAAAGAAATCCACCTGAAATGGCTAACACAGAGAAGTCAATGTATAGATAAATGAATATGAAAATTGGTCACTATGGTAAAAACTTGTTTTGGTTCCCAAATAAGGAGGGTTGGAGCCTATTTTGAGAGCGAGCAAAGCTGTGTTAATTCCAAGTTTTGACAAATGTAATATTTCATTAAGTTTTAGGATAGCTGGTTTTAAATTAAACCATCCAAATCTTCTTCACTGTAATTGCTGCAGAGGGATTTCATTAGCTCCATCCCTATCAGTTAATTGCTGCAGTTTCACGGGTAGCATCATCCCCCGTACATGGCTCATTAGGTGCCGGAGCACCATCACCAACTGCCAGCAGAGGGCAGGAAACGCTCAAGATGCCCCGATGGAGCTCCCAAAGGGCTGATCCGTTGAGACGTGCCTCCACCTAGTCCTCAAGTGACCCATTTCACCGGAATAACAGCAGAAATTGGAGGCTAATTTACATTTCCGCATGACTGAGGGATAACACAAAGCCCCTTGCAACAGCACCTAGATAAGTGTGAACCTTCCAGTGACAATGGAAGCTCCCAGAGCCCTTCCAGCAGCTCCTGGCCTGGTGTGCTCATATTGAGACACCCAGTGAGGCTGACGGGAAACTGGAACGTAATTAAGTCTACTGTTACCATGAAGGGTGAAGAAAAAGTCTGAGATTTACACAGACCCTCTCCTAAGGATAAAGCAAGCATTAACTGCTTTCTGGGCAGCACCAGAAGCCAAGTTCATGCCCTGTTCCCACCAGTGCATGTTTCAGCTCTGGGATTAAGGTCTTCAAACAAACGGGATGGGGAAAAGGAAGAAGGGAGTCCTCTAGCAAGATGTGTTACTGTGAAAGCAGCTCAGACAACACAGGTTTAGGATTCTAAATACATTCTTGAACTTTTATTTCTGCCAGTGGTAAGCTGTTGATTACAAACCTCGGTAGCAAAACCAGACCAAAAATACATCTCACTCTCGGAAGCAAACATGTGCACTTGGCATGTCAGATTTACACGCAGAACTATGATTCACATTTTGACAGTGAATATGTAAATGCCCAATGAGGGATGTGGGTTGGCAGCAAGAGCAAACTGCTGTGTGTAACCGTGGCAAATGTGCAGCCAACACTGTGGGTCTGTGTAGGTGCACACAACTCTGAGCAAATGGACTACGCCATGTAGACGTGAAATGATACTGCTGGCTTTGAAACAGTGTAAGCAGAGAAAAACCCTATTAACAAACAACAACTTAATGAAAGCTGTTTGGCACTTCCCAACTGAGGCTGCTTCGGCAATGTGCAGTATCTTTGTACCTGGGTTAGATCTTGCAGGTGTGTGTGTGTACACACTGCTTTGGCTTCCACTAGAACTTAAACATTCCACTAGCGGATTCTGAAGTGTTAGGGATACTTCATGAATCAGGCAAAACAAAAGCTGCTGTTTTCTGAGATTTGAAGCCAAAGTGCCAGCAAAGAGCAACTGCCAATTACAGAAACCCAACTGCAACTGGCTTTAGCCAAAGAGAAGACATTAAACCTCCAATGTCTAATGTGGTTCTGTACTATGTGACACAACCCCCACTCCCCAAACCGTGCTATAATCAGTTCTGTGGGTTTGATATGTCAGTATAAAAAAAGAAAGAAATCCCATAAAATAGAAATCAAGAACTTAAAGGACAAAACCACCAGTTCCCAGAGGTGCTTTCTTGTATGTGCAACATATGCTTTTTGTCAAGGTACACATCTTCTCCAGATCCATAATGTGCAAATCCCATAAATTACAGAACTATTCCAGTCAGATTCCCTTACTAGTGCTGAAACATTCACAGTATAAACTGTCAAGATTCTCCATGCTGTGAATGAATATATATATATAAAAAAAAGTAAAGTGCAATTCATTCTGTTTTGCAGAGTCATACGTGGCTCTGTACTTCAGCATATGTTTACAACAGATTTCATAATAGGAAGACAATCCCCCCATTAAACAATGTGATCTTTTCATGGCAGATGTTCTTGCTTTTCAATAGGCTGCATTAAATTTGCTATGGTGTAAAACCTGAATGAAAGGTTCTTCATTCATTCCAGTGTCTCACACTTACGGTTTCCATCACTGACAAGTAATATCAAGCCCAGTAGATCTGTGGTTTTGTATCTAAACATGTAGCACAAGACGTGTCTGAAATCAGGAAGTTCATTCTCAGCTTTTGTGCAGCCAGACTCTTGATCCTTAAACCCTCTTTCTAATGATCTAGACTCACTGCACTCCTGCCTGGTGTCCTATAGCAGCTCTTGCTCATCATCTTCAGATCCTGAGGGTCCTTGTCGTACCTCTTCATACCACTTGTTTGTGAGGGTTTTCATCTGTATGCGCCCATGATGCAAGTCCTGAGGCAAATGCAAACCAGAACAGTTTGTTACTTAGCTACAATGCTACTTGTGTGATAGAGCAAAAGAGAAAGGCTAGTCTAACATACTCCTTAGGAATTAATCCACTCCTGGTCTCTAAGCATGCAAAGCAATTCTGTTTCCGACTTGAAAATACTCATCAAGTGTTCAGGCAGTAATTATTGCCACAGATGCTATTTTTGATGACGGGTATTTTTATACCTGTGTTTTCTACACAGTCCTGCTCTGTGGGTTTCAACAACCCTGATGCTGTCTGCATGGCCTAGCTCTGAATCTCACTTCTCTCTGCACGTTCCCAGGGCCATTGGTTGCTTGTGACCTGCTCTGGTGATTCATGTACTTATGTTTCTAGCCTTTGGTTGCAATTTGGATGGCAGCCTATGCTTCTGGCTACCAACTATGAATCAGATGCTTACTCTGGTTTCATGAGTCCCTTTTGGTTTTGCAAAAAATGTCTTTAGCTTTTGTGGGAAAGTGCTGAAAACATTCCTTTGAAAAGAAAGGTACAAAACAAGAGGAAAAATAGTATGGGAAGTCTAGGATGATGGAATGTGCACACTTCACGCAAGTTTATCAACTCCACAGCAAAAATGCTTAATTCTATGGCAAACTGGAAAAACTGTGGGGAAAAAAAAACCACCCCAAACCAGTGTGGCTAAGGAGCCTCAGGTTTCTGAGGCATGGGAGTGAAAATGGCAGAGTATTTACACCTCTCAGAGCCACTCTAGTGTTAAGTTACATGTTCAGTCAGGTGTCATTTTACATTTACAGCTTCAAAGTCTTAGTCTCCCAGTGAAGAAGTCTTAAAGGTGAAGGCTGCAATGCTGGTGTGTATTTCCCAGATATAAATTGCACTCTGCAGACAAATCCTAGGTCCAGAATGCACAGGACCATGTACAGTAAAAGGCAGCAACTTTGCATGACAGCACTTGAAAAGCTCTGTGTGAGTGGCAGCAGCTTTTCTAGCAGCAGTAATAACTAGTAACTCCTGATACTGTTCATGGCACTCTGCAAGATTAGAGGCAATAAATCCATATGCATTTTAAAGTTTAACTGTGGTAGCCCTGAGAGATGCTCATTTAATCCAACCTGCAAATTTGCAGTGCAGCTTTTCATTACAGCTGCTCTACATACACACAAGTAATATATTAGGTGGCTCCCTCTTCCCACCTAATGTGCAAGTTGCACAGCTACACTATGAGCTTTGAATTGTACAGAGTGAAATGACAACCAACTCTACCATGGGCTCTTTTCTCCTAGAAAACAGGAAAAACTTACCTCTTGTGTGAGTCTTCTGGTAAAGAAAGGGTTCAAATACTTGGCATCAAGCCACATAAACCCTTTGAGGTCCTGGCGTTTTATGTACTGGGCTTCATACTCCTCCTCCGTGAGCTCTGATAAATGTTCAGATTCTATGGTGTTTCCCTGGAAAGATCACAAATGTTGCAGTAACATGAGAAATGCTGCAGTCATCCCTTTGGCTTGCTCAGCCCTCTGCTCTGTGCTCTCCCTTCTCACAACTGTTTCCTGTGCTGGAACAAGATGGAAATTATCACCCCAGCCTACCAGGGATTATAGCTATACAAATCTGTCCAGTTGTTGACTCCCAAAGTCACTTAGCTTCTCTTTTCACGCTGAAAGGTAAAAGGTCTCAAATGTTCCATGTTCTGTATTGCTGCTACTGCTGAGAACAGATTTCTAGAGTGCAGGTTTTCTCTTGTGAGCTGAACAATGATTTTATCCAGCAAGCCACACTAATGTCATTGTTTTACTGAAAACAAACCCTGTGTCAGAACACACCCTATCCCTGTGCCCTTCCTATACATACCTCCCTGCGTGGACAGAGTAAGATAGTTCTGAAGACTGCAAGCATTTTGAAACCTCATGCCAGGAGGAGCTGTTTTTCAGATCCTACAGAACAATCCCCTGTGTGTAGTTTGATGGTTTGCGGAAAACCAGGAAAATGCTCTGGGATACTTCACATATTTCAGTCTTTTGCACGTGCGGTTTCACACTGGCTGTTAGTTTTCTTCAGTACTCTTGCTTAGCTGGAAATTGCTTTAGCATAAAAGGCAGTCAGAGGGGTGCTGTTGATACCACCTTCTCATGGCCTTTGCTTTGGCTTCTTCCAATTTTCATCTGCCTTTTATGATTAATTCATGACTCACGTTGTACTAGCTACTTTCCCTCTGTATATGACTCAATCCTCTATCATCTGCTTTACACTTTTGCAGGGGTTACTTTAATTTGTGTGGATAGAGTTATAATTAGACTGAGTTAAGAGACACTCTCCCTTCCCTTTGTCCAAACAGTTATTTTGTGTAAACAGTACCCAAGCTCTGTCTTTGGGATATGTCAGAATTACACTGCTTGGCTTTGTCCTACCGCCTTGGCTTTTTCCACTGCTTTTGTTTTACTTTTTAGTAAAAAATAAAAATCAGTGATCCTCTGAATAAAAAACCCAACAAACCATCTTCTCCGTCTTGCTAAGATTGATGTCCTTCTTGTTCCTCTTGCGTGCTTTGGAATCCTCGATGTCAATCAGTCTGATGAGGGGCATGGTCCCTCCTCCCAGCAGCAGAATGGTGAACAATACTATGATGATTGTTGTTGTCCCAATGAGCTGCCGCTTCTCTATTGGTTCCAAGCCCAAATGGAGGCTGAGGGCATAGGGAATTGCTCCGCGTAAACCTTATCAGAGAACAGCAAATCAATGAAGCATGAATCAACAGGTACAATGGTCCTCAGCACCATGATAGCCCAACAGGAATTCTCTATCTTTAAAAGACTTTTACAGTCCTACTATGCCCACTAATCTACTATTTGGTTACCACCCTAAAATGAGTCTAAGCTCTTCAAATACTGCTGTTTAAACTGTGAAATTGCTAGACCTAGAAAGAATAGTAGACTGTTTACAGAAAAGCTTTAGTGGGGATCACCCATAGCAATCTATCGCAAAGGGGGGAAAGAACATATCTATTGCACTTGGGTTTGAGAACAGTGCAAATGTTCAGCTGAGTTGTGCTCCACAGACAGTAAACTGGTTCCTCTCAGAGTTGCCCATGCAATGAAAAAGACACATTTTTTCCATTTCTCCATAATTTGAGCTCTAACTTACCGCTAAACCACATGATAAACATCATTTTGGGGGTGATCTTGTGATCACGGAAAAAGTTGAGTAGGTAGGAAAGTGGGAAAATGTTCACTGCTCTACCAAACAGAACAAGGACCTGAAAAACAGAAATAAAAGCAAAAGACCATTTGATGCATTACATTCATGCAGGTCCAAGTTTCACCTTACCCTGTGCAACCCAGATGCATGTGCTCTTTTCATCACAAGTCTTGCAAGTAAAAGTGCTGCTAAGTTAACATGAAGAAATCTCTCAGCATAGGTCAATGTGGAATTTAAGGTTTTAAACGTTTTGTCTGCTTAACAGAAACTAAACCAGACTTGTCACTGACAGAGAGCAGACACTACTTTACTTATAATAAATAAATGAAACCCAAGAGGCATTCCAGGGGGACCAAGAATTACTTTGGGTGAAAGTCCTCCTCAGTTCAGTCAGTTCAGCTCCTTTAATTGTCCCCTTGGTGCAACACTAAGATGGAATAAGATATTTCTATTGCCTCCCCATGGACCAGTTCCTCAGAAGAAAAGGCCAGAAGCCAAACAAATAGCATGTAATCGAGTTCCTCAATGCTTTCCTGGGTATGGTTACAAAATATACCACACATTGAAATGATGTTTTGAGAGGGGAAAAAGATGTACTATTGATTTAATGGCAGACAATTAACAAATACAGTGAAAACTTTTAACTCAGAAAAGCAAAGGTTTTCACAAACAAGCTTTTAAGCTCCACCACAAACAGACTTTGATAAGGTAAATATCCTAGAATTAGTCAGCAGGATCCTTGAAGGGCTGTGCTGTTTTCCTTTATGAATCACCCCAAAATTACACAATTTACATTATGCCTATGAGGGCAATGCTACATAGAAGGAAGTGTCACACCTTAGATATATATATTAGATAAAGAAGTTGGGTGCAATGCAGCAAGAGTAGCTCCCCATGCTGGTATCACCACCTGGGAATTGTAGGTAGCAATTCTTGCCATAAACCATAGACTAAAATGCACTAGGATACATTGTTGTATGTGACTGAAAGTGGATTCACATTTCCCTCTTTTGACTGTGCAAAAGAAAATGTTCGTTTCATGTCTTTATATTACACAATTGCAGTAGCAATAGATGTAGGTAATACTCATGTGAAACGTATTTCAAAGTGCCAGCACATAAAGTTACACTGAAATACGGAATGAAGCAAAATGAATTAAGAATGGAGTCAAAGAATGAATACACATTAGAGAAGGTTTGAGTTAAGGACTTCCTCTGAAGAAGGTGAACGCGGAGTGAAGAATAATCATTTAATGTTGTTCAATATATAAAAAGTATTTTCATAAGCCCATATAAAACATAACTATTCTAAAACATATTAACTGTAAGTTGCTTCCCCCCACCCCAATACTAAAAATGCATCTGAAAAGAGATAGATGAAAGTAAATACCTACTATGCACCAGATGACAAAGGACATCTCAAACTTGTGAGGAAAACTAAAAATTGACAGGCCAAGAAATGCAAAAACACACGTTTCTGAAAACGAGAAATCACATCTTAAATAAACAATTACATAAAATCTTTCCTACTCCTATTATCAGTTATTACATGCAGTACATAAAATAGTATTTCCTGACTTCTGAATGCACAAAGTAGGCACAAATGGCATTATGCAAAAGGTCTGACTCTTCCACTTGCTGTCAGCGGACAGCACTTCAGTGTGTGTAGGTTTGTAATTTTCTTACTGTAAATTCGTAGTAAGTATGAACAAAGGTTACAAAACCTTGTTCTAAAGACTGGGGAATTTTTAACTTGAGGAATCTGCAGAACAAAAGTCACATGAGGGACTATTATGGACTTCTGTAGCTTTGAGTTGGATTCTATATAAAACTGATTGTCAGGCACAATCTCATATCCTGCAAGTTGAACAAGTTGATAAAATATTCAATTCATTAAACTTTTTAAAGTGGCAGCAGTTCATGACTTTCTTTGCAATAAAATACTGCACTGATCTAACAACCCTCATATATTCTAACAACCTCCGGAAGTGATATTGCAGATCTGAAGTAGTACCACCACTGCACAATGACTAAGTAATCCAAACATTTTATTTCCACAGCATCAACCCATTACCATCAGAGTATCACAGAGTCAAGATGTTTCATCAGTTCACTTCAGCCCCAGCAAGGTAGGCTCCTTATCATAATGGCAGTTAAAAACAGGATGGTTTTGGACAGACCATAGCAGCATAAGACACTGTTTGGTGAGACTCTGGGTACTGGCTACTTATGTCTGCATGTTCAAAATGGTACCTTAAATAACTCCTTTATAGAGACTTCAATTAATATGTGCTTTTTAGCATTTGTAATCAAGTAAGATCAAACCCTGGTGAGCTACTGTGCTCAGGTAACAAGTGGTTAAGTTCAGTTTGCATTAAGGTCACCCTCTGACTATGTTCCAAATGCATTTTCCTACGAACAATATGGAACACATGGATGAAATCCCCTAAAGAAACAAGATATATTTGTAATAAGCATGTGATTTCTTTGAAACTTTGGTTTGCAAAAGGAAATGGAAAGGCTCTGGACTTTTTGCTGCTTGTATCTCTACTTACAAAAACCTCTTCTCAGTTTGAAGCTATTATTAAAATAATGTTAAAAATACTGCTAAAAATCCATCTTTTAAAGCTAAAAATAGACCAAAGGAATATAGGAGTCAGAGATCTCTATCTGGTTGTCAATCTTGTGGCAAATCTTAGCAGGAGCCTGCAGGCTGGGAGAGAGAGATTTACTGTATGTTTTATCCTGTATGGCAGGAAAGGTGACTTCTGACTGCCTTCCAGCCCCCACTAGGAATTCTTCTCTTAAAGACATGTATCACTGACACACAAATGGCTAAAAGAAAGTTCACACCTCTGCTGCTCCCATCAGGATCACCATTTCAGGCAAATAATTTTTTATACTGTTAATATTAGGTATTAATAGCAGGTAGCACTTACCACACATGAAAGCAACAGTTCTCAGTGTCTGCTGCATTAAAATCTGTGTAACCGGGGACAAGTTATGGTGTGTATAGTGAGACATCACGATGCCAGAGAAGAGGATTGCCATGATACCTGCAGGTAAAAATGTGGCAGTTAACAGAAGAATAGCTTGTACTCTGCAAATATTTGTGGGTTTAGTTCTTACTAACACAAAAGCTTATGAAGCAATAAGTGGGGTTTCTATTACTGTTGTTATTCATTACTGGTCTCATTCCACTGATTATATTAAATACTAGGAGGTCAAATATAGGTCACCTGCAAGCTAGGATAAATCCCCATTATGTCACATTTTCCCATAAAATTGAGGAACTAAAAAGCCAATTCTTGAGGGTTTTTCACTCTCCTGACAGATAGAGTGACATCAAAAGAAGAATAAAACCAATTTGAGAATAGGGGGGCTAGAGAACTGTGTAATTTAGTTCTGCCAGAAAGCGTGTCCCTCTTTCCTACCTGCTCATCAGCCAGCCCCAATCACTCCACCAGAAGCAGAATGAGACCATGTGAATACAATCCAGTATGGTGCACCACATCTAATGCCATAGAAAATTAGGAACAAATAACACACACAGGTGTACCCTCAATTTTCTATCTATCTGAGAATCAGAAAAGCTATTGAGACTTGAGAATTCAGGGCAAAAATCACCTCTGCAGGGATCAAAGAATCATTTACATTGGAAAAGACCTTTAAGATTGGAGTCCAACCATAAGGAAGGTAGAGTGTGTTATGTAGGGCCTGCAAGGAATTCTACCTGCTATAGAATGTCCTTTGCCTCCAGCAGAAAGGGTCACCAAACCATCCGCTTATGTTACTACAGGGATTAGTCTCAGCTATCAACAATGGAGAAAGCCACCAAATTTTCCACTCTAGAGTTCAGTTGCCCTAATGGCATGCACAGCTTGGGCAGAGGTACAGTAACTGGTATCACAGGCCAGAACAACTACCTCAGATTTCACTGTATTTGACAAATCTTTGATTGATGTTAGGGACTTTTTCTATCCCCCTTGCTTCCCTGTTCTTGGTTATTTATAGGAAAAATATGAATATCAACCTATTTTGCTAACTGCTCAAGATGTGCCACAGACACGGTCCATTATTCACTGTTCACAGGGAGCTGGGTATCTTAAAAGGAAGTTTTAAACATTTCTGTGCTTGCTTGCTGCATAGACTTACACCTGCAAAGGTTAGGATGTAGCAGCCCACTTGAAGAACAACTACAGTATTCCTTGCGAGGAAATAACAAACCAAAATTGACAATATAACCCAGAAGAAATCAACTGCAGTGCAGCTCTCCAGAGGACAGGATGACACGTGAGATGCCTGCTTTGCCCAAAACAAGGGAAGTTTAATAGACTAGAAGTGTTTGGCTGGACCTGTGTGCCCAGGAGTGGCACAAATAAACACAACTGGAAGGATTAAAATAGCTGAGGTACAGTCAAAAGAATCCTTTGTCTGAAACACAGAGGTGACCTGCCTAAGGTCATTCAAAGTTTAGATTTCTTGAGAAGCCATTCTTGAAGGCACTTGAGAAATGAGGGAGGTTGGTTGTCTTTATAAATAAAATGACACAGAATCTTTGTCAACCTGAGAGTAGCTACCTAGGAGTCTTACTGTAAGTTCTTTTTCACTGTATACCACCATGCAGATGTGTTGGTTATATAATGCAATGGCCCTGCAAGTCTGTAATATTTATCATAATTTTATATTAATAGGCAGTATAAAAGAGAAATGGAAAAGGCCATGTGCTGAGACCTTCCCACAAGGCAAAACTTGTTTTTACAGCAGTGCAAATATTTTAACATATCAAACTACTTGTTCAGGTTTCCTATAATTTCATTCCCCTACATATGTGTTGGCCTATAGACACATTCAGAGTGTATAGTGGGCAGAATGGAATGTTTGCATTAGGATTATACATCTTGATTGTGTAACTACCATGATTTATAAGCCACATCTTCATACATATAAAAACCCCTAACTCCACTGACATCAGTGAGAGCATGCTGATACACACTGCTACAGATCCATTCTAAAATACTCACATTAGTTCACACGTACATTTTGAGAAAGCCCGATTTCATACCTGTAGCTCATTTACAAGAAATCTAGTCCTGCTACTTCTCCTCACAAACTTGTAACATTCTTATATAGTCCAAGTTGTAGAGCAAACACATCTTTTAATGCCCTCTTTGACACAAGTAATACCTACTCCCTAAATTTACCCAATAAACCTGCACATACTCATTTTGCCACTCACCTGAGAGTGAGATACCTTCTGCAAGCCCATAAGGAAGGTAAGCGAAGATAATCATCATCCCAAACTCTAGGGAGGGCGTCTTCCTTAAATCAATGTGCTTTAGTACGTATACATGTAAATGTTATGGAAAATGTACATAGGAAAAATTCAAAGAAAAATTGAAATCTGTGTCATTCCATGACAAAATAATGATTATGTGGAATGTACTTATCTATTGAATAGCTAACAAAGTGTACACACTGGCGTTTGCCTCAAGTATGGAAAGATTAATAATTCTTTATTAATGGAAAGGTTACTAAATAATGAGGAGTGTTTCTTACAGAAGCTGCTGCTGGTAGAAGTCTATCAGAATGGACAGACTATAGACAGCAAAGATCTGCTACTGATGTACCTCTACAATACTGATAACAATATGCCAACTGTATGGATCTAAAAGAGCCCTTTCCTCACACGTTCAGTCTTTGAAGTCTGCTCCAAAACTACTGCAGAAAATCCATAAAGAATTATTAAATAGTAAAGACTTTTCTAAAAACAGGGGATAGCTATGAAAGAGCAAATTAAATGTAAAATAGCTCTCATGTTTTAACAAAAATAACATCCTTTTGACACTCAGGATATTTAAAACTTACTTTACGTTTGTAGTCACAAATGCAGATGTTTGTCAAGGGCTGCAAGGGCTGCAAGTGCTGCTTTGCATCTCATGCACAGTCCTGCAGCACAGCTGCCAAGTACAAGTAGATTTTGCCTCAGACATTGTTATTTGCCACACTAGGAAAGCAAGCAATCTCTTCTGCTCAGTCACTAGACTTCCATTTACTTTCAAATGGATACGACAGCTTTGCAGTAATATTAACACTGAGGAATATTCCTTCAATCGCACCCTGTCCTTAGCACTTTAAAATACTCCACCTACCATCTTTGTTAAGATTCAGAGGCTTAGATGCCTGTCACATGGAAGTCCACATTCCCTTGGGCCATGAACCAGCAACAACCTTCCACTGTATTTATCTGCTGGCAACTAATAAGATACATCCTTTGCTGCACTGAAATTTTGCATGCTCAGGGTAAATCCAATACTTTGAAGCAAAGTAATTGTAATAGGGCAAATAAGCTGTTTTTCTATTTGACTCGCATTTAGATATCAGTAAAAGAAGTGTTGAACATCTGTTTCCCTCTTTTGTTGTGATGTATAGAATGACTTAAAAGTTCATGGAATCAGGCTAATGAACCAAGACAGGAAATATGTCTGCAGTTAATCAAGTGCTCTATTATTGTTATTTACAAATAAAGTGCTTAACAACATGACATGAATAATTGTTGTACAAGCCTGACACAAAAGATTACCTGCAGTAAAGTCAGTGTTAACATTAAACAAGCTCTGAAAAGTGTCAAAGGTGTCTGACTTACAAAGAAACATCCTTCCTTATCTCGGGAGAGAAGCTTCTGGGTTGTTTAGCAACCACTTCATGGAAGTGGAAGAGGCAAAATATAACTCGGTGTAAATCCAGATAGAACAGTATCTGTATTCAGCTGCTGAATATGATACATAGGAACAAATGAGCTGGTCTGACTCAAAAGCCCTCGGGAAAAACAGCTCTTTTTTTCCTTTTAAATGAACTAGTTTATGTATGTAAAAAAGGAGCCATATGTTTGTAAAAAGGGATCAGAACTGAAATGGAATTAATGTATTTTGAATTTACGAACCAATTACCATATTTTATAACACACTAATATAGGCAACTACACAGCATTTCAGACCTTAATTATGTTCATAAAAATTTAATGCAACTCTTAATGCACACCCTTGCACACAAACACAAAAACAAAATAAACACGAGAACACCCTTGGCCAACAAAACAATGGCTAACAGGAAATATCCACTAAAAAATGCTGGAGAAGATGGGAAAGAAAAGACACTATTAGAATTTTGAAGTTCACCAATTCACACGTGTATCACCAATACTTAAAAAAGGATATTAATGCAGAAATAAGACCAGTAAGTGTACCAAGCGCTGCAGAGCCAAAGAACATCTTAAGAAAGTACCCCAGTGCCTGTAGAAAGGTTTGCCATCCACTTACATCTGACATATTTTCTCTTGTCAAACCTTCTGCTGTGCTAGAGATAATTAAAAAATAAATAAAAAGAAACAGTTATGAGTTCTAAGCCTAGATCCAAAAATACCAAACATCCTTTGAGAGCAACAACAAAGGCTTCCATTTCTTTGTTGCTACCGCTCTTAAAAGGCTTTTACTGTGATACATATAACAAGAGGAATGTCAAAAGATGTTAAATCAAGTCTCAGTGTAATCCCCAAAGGGAAACCTAATTCTGCTAAAAATCTGGAAACCCAGCATTGCTCTTCTGAAGAATCCCCAGAATGGCATAAATAGGCTATGATAATGGCCAGTATTACAAAACAGTTTTCAGACTCTGAAAAGGAAAACGCGCTCTGCATCGGTAAAAACTCAGGGTATGAAAAAGAAAAGACCCATCATGTGATCCTGAGAGAAGAACAAATGAACAGGAAGACTTCTCATCAAATATTTAGGCGTGGACGAGAGACAAGAAGGTCACTGAAGAAAAGCAAAGAAGCTCAAAGGAGGAAAGTGAAGAGATCTCTTTGAATTTCATAAAAATTCCATGCAAAGACAACATGGATTCCAACTAGCGTTCATTTTAATTGCTGTCAGCCTTCATGGTCTTCCATAAAAGAACCATGACTGTATCAAAAGCAATTAGTTAACTGAAAAATTACACTAACTTCCTTAGTCTAGCTACTCCTTCTGTACATTCACAGTCACATTCATTAACTTCAGCAATAACGTGAAGATAAAACTTACTTAACTCGGCTCAAAATAATTATCATGGGCAAAGGAGAAGGATATGGAATGCTGCTCTTCCCTGTGATATCCCCAACATAAATATGAAACTATTGCATGGATCTTGATGTACTCCTCCCAGCTTACGTGTGACTGGATATAAGCCAATAATATAGGAGACACAGTTGAGTATTTGGCAAGATACATATTTTTGCGCAAGCCTGAAAGGACACGTTTGTCTTCTGTTGTCAGGACCCTCAGATGGAAACAGAGCTGGTGAACATACGGACTGAGAAAGCAATCAATTATCTGGGGTCAGTGAGGTGCTTGAGGTAGTGGTAATAAGACATCCATTCACTTCCTTCTGCCTATGCAGTTTATGTTATAGATTGATTTTAACAAAGGATCATACAAAATTCAGCTTTACACCAGAAATAAATGATATGTCCCACACAGAGATGGAAGAACTACTTTATGTCTGAATAACTAATTAACAGAAAACAATGCAGTCGTTGTTCCCATAAACACATCTAATTCAAATGCACTTACTTGGTCAAGACAATAGAGACTGCATCATTGAGAATGCTTTCTCCAAAAACCAACATGTTGAGTACAGGATCCACATTGAGGGCATTGAAAATGGCAATTGTAGCCACAGGGTCAACTGCAGATATTAAAGAGCCAAAGGCAAAACTGGAACACAAAACAAAAAAGGAAACTAGATGAAAGAGAAGTGTGTACCTAGTAAACTTTTATGAGCAACTAATAACAAAGGCATTATGTGTCATAGTTTCTATGCAGTGAAAAATTATGCTCTCTTCCTATTCATAAGAATTTGATGGGACAAAAGGGACGTTTTTGGTTTTCATTTACTAATAAACAAAAGAGAAAAGTTGCTGTCCAGCTGGAAGAGATGCTGGAGAAATACCTAACTCCCAGCTCTCAACAACAGTATCAGTATCTTACTCCAACTAAGTACGAAGAGAGTAGAAGAATGGGAAACCAAACAACTTTACAGACACAGCCCAAACCATGTATCACACATGCATAGTGTTACGTGTTCAGGAGTATTAGAAAGGAATATTTAAAGGGAACTGCTAAAACTTCATTACTTTGGAATCCAAAGATAGACAGTACAGAGCCAATGGGCCTGCTCAGCTGTGTAAAAGTCAAACGCTTGGAACCAAGTGAGGAAGACTTTTGCTGTTTGTGCATGTATTACTTGTTATGTTTCTTGCTTCCTACCCAAGGTATTTATAGATTTTAACAGAACTCCTGTATTGGCTATACAATAAATAAACAGATTCCAAAAAGATAGGAACAAACTTTATTCCTAGGTAGAGTGATGTACTCCTAAGAAACTGTTTAGAATCTTTGTCAAGTTCTTGAAAAATCTATATTATTGATAATGAAAAAGTCATTCTATCTTTTAAGAGAAGATCTGGACAAGGACAAGGAAGTTATGCCCTTATCATATATATTAATAATAGTGACTAACCAAAGTTATACGTTTTAACTTTAAAGGTTGTTTAAAAAACCTGTGTAAAAAGATCACTGAGCACAGAATACTATTTGGAAATAAGATCGTAATAAATAGATAATAAATATATTAGGGTTTACTAAACATATTTATTTTCATATATTTATATTTATAATACTTATTTATATTTTATATAATTTAATCTAAATAAATTTATTAGAGAATAAATAAATAGGGTTTAGAAGTGTTCAGTCTCTTTATAAGTTTCACACATGTTGAATCTAAGCATTAACCAGAACAGCTGGCCAACTACAGTGCATTTCCCATATACAGTTATCTTAAAGACTGCTTCATTTCACACACTACACCATTCTGCAAGAGCTTACCTGTCTGTCATGTTCAGTTTATAAATTACATCAGCCTGAAAGAATAGGCAAAACATAAAAGAAAAAGAAAAATCACAATCAACTGTGTTTTTCTGCTGCTTTTAAAAATGAAACTATTCATCAAATCCTACGTTTGTTATAATGAAAAAGATCACACTAGTGACATTACCCAGTCTAACAGCGATCTACTACTATTTTGGTCACCCAAAATCAGGGAAGACCAGTTGGGACTGGAACAGAAAGAGATGAGCAGAGTAACTAAGGCAATCAAAGGAATGGAAATTTGAGAGGCAAAGAAGAAAGTATCAATTTTTTGGCCTACCAGAAAGAAGCCTGAGAGAAAATATAATTATCTATAATAAATGGGGAAACACCAAGGCAGAGAAGCAAATCAAAAATTACTGACAGAAGAACAAGTAAGTTTAATACTGGAGATTAGAGGCTGGCTCTAGGGAATACAGGTTTTGGACACTTTCCAAGAGGAAGACTAAGTAAATAAAACACAATGCATGTCTTAATTGCTTTCAACATGGATCACGCTATACCTATGGAAGGGGGTATATAATATTGCATCTAAGACTGCAGAGAACTGGACTTTGTATCCTAGGAATTCACTTTCACTATGTTTGTCTGCTCTTGAAAAATGGACTTTCAAAGAGCAAACCAGATAAGTGCTTCTAAGCAGTTAAATCTTACCTGGCCCAGGAAATAAATTCCTCCACCTACAATGAAAGCTGATATCGCAGTGCCAAACACAGAAAACAGAGTGATGGAACCGATGTTCTGAAAAAAATTACCCTGCAACACAGTAATAAAAGCAAGTAAATTAGTGAAAATAATCTGAGAGAAAAATCATGTTTGGGTTTGCATCTAAATTAGATTCTGATTCCGAACTGATAATAAAGCTTCAAGTACCCCAGGACATCCATCAACACCCTCTGCCTAAAAAGCCTGCTCCCTTGAGGAGAACAAAAATTTCGATACCCAGGACAGGATGTCAGTCTTGTACCCTAACAACAAACCTATCTCAGATGAACAGCTGGATATTTACCAGCACTTTGACACCTTCCCCACCTGACAGAACTGTAAATTAATCCATCCATTGTAGACAAGCATCTGAAAACAGCTTGCAAACTTCCCAGCTGCTAGTCCATTTCTTAGGTTGTGATTTTTATATGTGAAAATCTTTGGTGTTGGTACCCATTCATGGTATTTTGTCCACTGCTCACTCCCTCTCCTGCAACACAGCTCAAGCAGAAGCACACAGGGAGGGCCAGAACCATTTCAGGCAGGACTAGCACTGTGAGAAATGTCCACAGAAATACAGGCTTCCACGCAAAGGCTGAAAGCCTTGTAAACATTCTCCCCTTCTCTAGCTAAGGAGTGACTCCACCTCTCCCACTTCTCATCCTACTCCTTGCCATTTTGCCTCCTTCACATCAGCTCTTGTATAGTTCCAATGAGGTTCGAAACCTCTCCAACCAAGGAAAACAAACTCTGTGCAGTACCTAATACCCTGCCAACATTCAGTTAACAGTAACAAGCTACACTCCCTGCATTCTGGGTTGAAGAGGCTTAAATTTTGCGTTCACAATTCCCTAATGACTAATATAATGGAATTCAATGCAATTATTCTAAATGTTACAAAGATAACAGGAGAATGTGTTCCAAACAAAACCTCAACATTTAAAATGAGTGTCTGGCGAGAGCTGACCTTGTGCAATGAATATCCAGATTCAAATATAATAGGTGGAAGCAAAAGCAGAAAAAACATATTTGGACGAAACATTTCTTCTTCCTGCAAACCAAAAATGAAGTATAATTTCAACCATATAATAATTATGGAAATAACATCAAATCTTCCAAAAAGGATATTGTTTAAGGAGAGCAAACCACAAAAGAACAAAAATGTTGGAAAATGAAAATGGCATTAATCTTTCTCCTTTCTTATCACAATATAAAAGACTGAAGAATAGTAAAATACTCCAGGGCTACTACTTCTATCGGGCTTTTTAAATCCAGCGATAGAAATCTAGGCATTACTTATTTTAAATTATTGTCTCCAAATAAGCTGCACAGAAAATAGGTTACTTATCACTAAGGTTTTAAAAGCCTTGCTGTTTCCACATAGAGTATTACCGTTTTATCTCGGTCTCAAAACCTGTGAGGTTTGTCAAGGAACAGTGACCTCTTGGCCACAGGCTCGAACATAATCTAGTTAACTGTGACCAAGCACACTTCACTAGAAAACTCATCACCTGACAAGAAGAAATCAGATCCCCATCTTAGTACATTTGCAAGCGAACAGGCTCAAGATATATATAATACTGGTAAGAGTCTGAGGCTTGATTCTTCTTGGGAAATGTGCTTCATACCTGTAAAATAATGGTACTATTCTGAGGGTTCCTTTTTACCATCAGAGTGATATAAATGAAACCTATTGTGAAGTAAGATGTTACTTTTTGGTGACCTTACTCTTTGTCACCTATCTCACCACTTGGCTAACACCGCTTCATGGAGCTGTACCCCTAGACTGGCACACTGGACTTTTTCTGCTGGCAGACTACGCACAGAAAGTAGATTAATCATAGCCTCTCTCTTTACCCACTAGGTCCCCTCCCAGTCCCCTCAGTTCTGAATACAGCAGAACTTGTCACCTTTGTAAGCAAGGATTACTTTGTTTAAAGCCAGGTTAAACAGCTGATTGACTGTTCTGTTAAAATACCAGCTTTCCAAAAAGAAGTACTCATCTCTTTAAAGCCTCATTCCTGTGTGTACCAGTGATAATCATCTTAAAGGATTTGGGGGACTTAGAAAATAAAACTCATCCTTTATACAGAAATGCTCTAGCCTGATATTCTGTATGCACAATTCCATGTATCACTGGCTAATACCACCTAGATTCTGTCCATATAGTAACTGTGCTAGAACAAAAATTCCACATACTCAATTAATTACACTGTTTAAAAGCTCCTGAAAGCATATTTGGACAAGGAGGTGAGAAATAATGAAAAGGAAGGACTTTTATTTGTGCTGCACTGAAGCAGAGACCAGGAAAGTAAACCATGAGGACTGGAATTATCTTCCATGATAGCAAGAATCATCAGCAAGTACAAGGTCCACTGAAGACTTAGTAAGGCATGATTGCTAGAAATAACATTACAAATGTCTTAGGGCAGGGATATGTTTCAAGATTTGCTTTGTACACGGATATAGGCTGCAGTTAAATACTCTATTTTTTTCCCCATATCAGATACATAAAAATTATCTAGTATATTTAAACATTTAAAACCATTTTATAAAGTGCATAATAATTTTTGACTAGAAGATTTCACATCTGAAATTGACAGCCTATGTTAAAACCTAAGCTTTAGTACAGTGAAAGTAACTAAGCAAATAATAATGTGGTTAATTGTGACCCTTTACCTTAGCTGATAACATGAGCAACCAGTCACAGCATCCCCAAGTGCCTCTCAAGACTTGACCAATGCTTACCTGAAATAAACTGCATACTTCACTAGCAATGATCAATATTTCCTGGGTTTATAGAATCAGTGCTCAAAGAAACTTTAAGCTTTTTTTTCTTCTTTTCCTGCATATATGAATTTTTTTCAGATTATTTTATTTAACCAATACCAAGCTATTGTAAAATGCTGATTTTGTGGCTGCCTAACCAACTTTCAATTTTAAGTCCAATCCAGTTAACATAAATCAGGAATGAAAAACACACTAACTAGTGCACCACCCACTGTTTCTAATAAGTAAACATGTAAAAATGCAGTATCACTACGTAACTCTTGAACTATGTAATCACTCAAACGAATGTACACAGAATTAGTGTAGTTATTTGGCAAAAAAAGAAGTATAATATGTAATTAAAAAGCTACACCTCATTGAAAATCTATTCATTTTAATGTATTTCAACTAAGGAAAGGAAAAAAAAGATCTTCCTCTAGGGAAATAACTGCCAACAAATGCTGAGCTGCAAGCTAGGATTAAAATTCACTACTCAGCCCAAGATTCTCAGCTTCCTAATATAAATCCTGTTTAAAACTAGTAATTCAAATCCCTGTGATTTCAATCAGTTCACTGATCTAATCCTAATAAACTGTCTGATCCTGTGAAACAAAATTACAATTTAAATAGTGCAAGATTTTAAATTAAAGCAGAATAGCGAAGAGTTCATTGCTTTGGTGATGTGGTGGTGTTTTCCTATGAAAATTAACTCCAAAAGGAGGAAGAGGACTAAATACAGTCAAAAAGTACACAAGACAAATAACTGAATTACTATATTTTTTACTGTAACTAATGCCAAAGATGCCCATTGCCTTCTTCTATCATGTGTCTGAATAGGAACAGATTTGGTACCTTAAAAAGTATTACTCAGGGAAAAAAATATTGTGTAGAAAATGTTCAGCAGCATCAGGACCTCAAATTGGCTGTGCTTATTAGTTAGAAAAAGCCCAAGCTGTGGTATCAAGTATCATGTGCTTAAGTTTATGGAAATTACATCTAAAGAAGCTAATATTACAGTCAGGGATTGTTCTCTTTTCATTAAAAATTAATTGCTTCAAATGTACCTTCCAGTTGGCCAGCTTTTGAGCCTCTATGATTTTTATAAAAGCTCCCATAAGGATACCTAGGAGAGAATGAGATAACATGCTGAAACTTTCACAGTACACAACACTGTTCATCGACTCTTGGTCAACAATGCTTTAAAATTGAAAACAAGACAAAACATAAAGCGGCAGGTTTTTCACTCCTAAATCACAGAAAGACAAAGTTGTTTTGGGTCTGATATATGACAGTTTCCAACATGTTATGCAATACCATAGCTTTCCTGCACAAAAGACTGTCACTTGGGATATCCAAATACTGAACATGTGTATTGAGAGTGCTGGGTTCACTGGTTCATAAAGGTAACAGGTTTAACTAGTCAAAAATATGCTACTCAACTAAGCTGCATTCAAATCAAATTCCACCTTTCTTTCTTAAATAATCAGGAAGTTATGAATTAGATATCTGTGTGACAGCACAAACCCTTCATTGTCACTTCAATGCTATGTGCAGCACTAACACAGCTTAAGTTGAAATCAGTCTTCTCCACAGATGTGAATTTTGTCTCAGTGAAGTCATAGTACTTACTGGCAATGAAGTAGGCAGCAAATTCTGTTTGAGGTGGAGACACTGTCAAGAACTGTTTCCCAAATGAATCACACATCCTTTAAGTCATGTAGAAATATTCATTTGAGTATAAAAGAATTTTATCAAGGGTGCTACAAACTCAATGATTAAACATTATCTTGCTCTTTCCTCCTATACATCTTCAGATACGTCAGAAAATGCCGAAATAACAAGATTTCTTCTGGAAGTCACAAAGACAATTCATGAACTGTCATTAACTGCTTTCAAGGAGTTATGAGGAATTTGTCTTTAGTCACATTCCAGATCTGTGTTTATTATTTATGGAGACTTCGTAGTCAAACACTTGGATGTAGAAATGAATACACTGAATCCAAGGTAAAAAGTGACAGAGAAGTTTTTAAAGTATGCTTTTCTGAAACTCTTGTTTTTATTCTCTCATGCTGTAGCTATCACAAGAGTCTTACAAATAGCATCACGTGGATTACTCCTGATGCATGTGTCATACACACAAAGCCATGAGGCTTAAGCCTTCTTTCATACAAAAATATGTGAAAGCATTGGTCCCAGAGGATAGAAATAATTGTTCCATGAAATCATTTCTATGGAAAGGAAGAGCAAACCAAAAATGTAGGAACATCAAAAGTCTGCTCTTCTTTAAAGGAGAACAGAATGCAGATACGGCCACTCACATGCCATATAAACACAGGTCTCAGTACGAACAGTCAGGCTTTCCATTCTGGGATGCAAGCTGTGTCAGAAGCCAAGGACTAGAACATTTCTAGTTTGTGCAGAGCGGCAACTACTTTTATCACTTAACAGGAAGTTTATGTGGGGAGAAAACAAACCACAACAACCAGAGCCTACATCTGAAGGCACAGACTTAAGGAAGTGTATTTCCTGAAGAAACTTTTGGTATTTTATGAATTAGTATTGAAAGCCCTCACATGAAGCTATGTTTAGAGAGGATTTAAAAGAAAGGAGAATCCCTCAGCTCGCTTCTGCTGACATGGAAGGACTCCATTGTGACTTGGTGGAATTGGACCCCTGTGAGGAGGCCAGCTGTGGCCTGTGGGCTACAAGCTGGGCATCCCTATCCTGTGAGCTCCAGAGGTTTAACCAAAGGGTTGCTATCAATCTCTTATTTGGAGTAAGAGTTAATCACAAACTGAATCTAACAACAGTGACACAGGCAGATGAGGTCCCTTCATTATATCAAAAGTTAAATGAATATAAAAAGGCAACAGCAGACATTAAGGGAAAAGGATAAGCCTGAGCCATACAACTTACACATTTACATAGCACAAGTTATTTCTACCTGCATATAACACAACAGTACTACTAAACCGATTATGCTAAAGCAAAGTCATGACAGGGCTGCACAAAACAATGCCTCACCAGGAGGGTTTAACAGCAGCAGAAACCTGTCCCACACATTGTTACAAACTGCTCTTCTTTTATGACTAGAATTACTATTCTTATTACTGAGTACAGTTTCTGTTCAGCTGGCGCCATCTATTAAATCAGGTAGATCAGCTCTGTCAAAAGGCTAACCGTAAAGCTAACTCTGTGAGAGTTAATCTAAGCCTCATCCTTTGGAAAATGTTACAGGAATTTTCTTATTACAACCAACCTTTATTCTCCCTGAGAACATGCTAAAACTCAGTAACAAATCAAAGAGAAGAACTGTTCTGACAACTATTTTTCCAATAAAATTCCAGTAACTTTTAAGGATGAAGATCAAAATCCAGCTTTAAGAGAATACACTCCCTTGCTGTCCACCAGGGGACTAACATGCCCTAGAAACCCTAAACCTAAAGCTTCTGAGCAGCTTAGACAATGGGAGGAAACACAGCTGTGAAAATCATACTTAACTTCTCTGCTGCCATATTTATTAGCCTTCAACAACTGCCTGAGAACATTTACTTAATCTATTAGTCAAAATAGGACACACCTCACTTCTGGCACTGCTAGCAAAACTGGATACTTGAAACTCAAGCTGTGCTCTTGCAGCTGTGTAGATCATTACCAGTAACAGGGGCTCACTGACCAGCAATTAGCTGGCAATTCCAATGATTATAGGGATACCATGTCTTGTCAACAGAGCTGACAGTAGTTTAAATATGACTGAGTCAATAAACTAAATAAATAAAGCTTAACTGACACAGGACATCTGTTAGTTGGGTTGCTACTGGGTATAACACTGCCTTCACTTAGTGGAATTGCATTTGCTGGTACCATGTAATCTGGTTTGGGAGATAGACTACAGCTACGCTGTGCTACATATTGAAAACCAAACATGTTAACACCCTTTACCTGGATTTTTGTGTACAAAGAGGAAGGATACTGAAGGAAGGGTAATGTCCTTTTGGAACCCTTCAAGATACTGGAAGATGTATTACACAAGACATCTCACCTGTCTGCAGCAATAATGTAAGAATGGAAGGAGAGAGAAGTGTGTCAATTAGTGAATCAAACACTGCATAGTCTCTGAAGTCAGGATGATCTACAGCAGCTCTGATCTTTCTATGTCATACCGTGGTAAACAGAAGCATAAATGCACAGAAACCTGGTGGATGCTGCTCCTATAGAGATAAGGTATGAGTGCAATGCCCAGGAAATTCATACCAGCACTACAGATTTCTTACAGCTTATTACTTTTTCAGCTGCAGAGAAATACCAGAACTTCAATATGGCCTTGGAAGTTAATGTCCCTTTAAGCTTCAACACTTTCTCTATGCTAGTAATGGGATGTGGTCTGCACCAGATTTATCTGAAAATTCAGAAAGTCAAGCTTGCAGGAAAACATGGTTTTCTTTCTGCTAGGTAACAGGTCTAAGATTTTCTCAATTTGTGTGAAAATACAGCAATGAAATATGAGAGAAGGTACCAGCAAAGCCCAGGAGAAAGTAGAAAAATCAACCTGCTCAGCAAGTATTACACTGCTTCACATTACATTAGGATTAAACCTAAGCATCTTTCTCTTTTTGTTGTATTTTTAGAGTGGCTGTCAGTGGAAATGTCTCTAGTAATAGAAGCAAAAATACCACAGATTCTTGCAAACAAGTTAGAGACAGCTGAAAAATTGCTGTTGGGATTAGTGAGACCAAGTTCTTTAAATATTATGTTAGACAGTATGCTGAGAAAATTATAAATGCATTTGGCCTGATTTCCTCCTTATTTACACATTGATAAATCAGGAGCCACAACATACAAACAAATGAAATTACCCTAATATAAAACTACAGGCTTAGGAATACTCCAAATTTAATTCAAATTAAGTAAGCACTTGATCTTCATTAAGGCTGGCATTCTTGTAGCTCAAGGCATAGGAAGAGCTCTTGTCACAGTACTACAGGGACAGTTAAGTATCTGGCAGTCGAGGTGAGTTTTCAGGATACAATTACAGTCTCCAGTCAGATTAAAATAACATAATCAGACATACTGCTACTGCAACTAATACAAACACGTTCTATTTCAAAGAGAAGGCCAGACTCTTGCTGCCAGGGAATGCTGAAGTATTTTATCCTACAGTGGATAGCCAACAATAGAGGAAGCTGCCAAAGTACTTAGGTAGTGACATCCCTATGTGTCATTTTACTGGGCCAGTCTGCACTTGGTTTCTTCCATGAATTTAATTCTGTGAATTGGTTGTTCTCTTCACTGCATCCTGTTTGCTGCGTCTTTCTAGTGATGGTTAGCACACAACAAAGCATTACTTCATGTAGAGATTACTGATAGTCCCTGAACTAACACAAATACAATAGAAAAATGTCATGGTTACTCACCTAAAGAGACAACAGCCACGCTCTCTGGCAAAAAATGAAGTCGGTATTTTATCAGTAAATGCACCAATATGATGCAGATAGCTGTGAGGGAAAAAAATAAATTGTAAATTTAGAAGTGTTAGAAGAGAATAAAATATACTTTTAAGTAGTATTTCTAAAATACATGCAGCAAAACTTCTAACGATTTAGTAGAAACCCACCAATGCAAGTAACCAAATTTTAGTTCAAGCCTAGTTCTCACTGAAGGACGTAAATGGATCTACACATGACAGAATAAATAAGGCAAATTTTCATACTTAAAATTACCTTCTAAAAATATCAATATTACTAGAGATCAATTCAGCCTACAAGAAAACCTTCTCTGAGATATACTGTTTTAATAGGTTTTTTTTAAACATTTCGTATTTTGTAAATAAAACACATATGTACACATGGCCTCAATTAGAATTTCAAAGCTATACACTTTCACATCAGAGTCCCTCTGAGCAGATGGCCTTTACCCAAATGGATAATCACAGAGCCAGAAAAATCACATTGGAAGGGATCTCTCAAGGTCATCTAGCCCAGCTTCCTCCTAAAGCAGAGCTAGCTTCAGCTTCTTGGAGCTTCTCTTAGTGATTTGGTTTAACAGCTCCTTCTAGTTAACCAAAACCAAACAGCCACTTGCAAATGGTTTAGAAAATATAGTGTCACAAAGAAGTACAAGCTTCGCAAATACAAGTATTGCTTTTAGTTGTCCTGCTCTCCAATACAGCGTTAGGGAATGTGCATCACACTGATGCCTGCATTCTCCCACTTGTTATCTTGTACTCCAAGTTCATACAAAACATAGTGAGCATATAATTGAAGAGCACATGAATAGATGGATTGGCTTACAAACTGAGCAAGGACTTACGAGTAACAGTAATTTGCTCAATTACTGGCATGTAATTTGTTCAGGGCCAAATCTTTGGGTTCAGAATGGTGAGAAGGGATGGCTTCATTCATAAAGACTGTCAGGGCTCCTTTCCCCACATATTTACCCTACTTCCACCCCGCCAATCTTTATGATAACGGGTTAAAACTTAAACAGGGGAAGTTTAGATTGTATATAAGGAGGAAATTCTTTCCCGTTAGGGTGGTGAGGCACTGGAATAGGTTGACCAGGGAGGTTGTGAACGCTCCATCCCTGGCAGTGTTCAAGACCAGGTTGGACAAGGCCTTGGGTGAGATTGTCTAGGGTGAGGAGTCCCTGCCCATGGCAGGGGGGTTGGAACTTGATGATCTTAAGGTCCTTTCCAACCCTAACTATTCTGTCATTCTATGATATTGATCAATCAGTTCTCAAAACACCAGAATTTACAGTACAAAAATGCAGACTCAGACTGGTGCTTACTTTAAAGTGCTGGACTAAAAACTGCAGCAGTTCAGACTAAGAAGCAACTCAGACATTTGGCTGCCAACCGCAATACCTTCATCGTGTATCCCAAGCAGTTTTTAGTCACCTGTCTATCAGTATTACTGACTTTGTACCAATTTCCTGCTTGTTGAATATAAGAAATATGCATCCAGTAAAGACATCTAGTATTCCTGTGTTCTATTCCCCTATCTTTGGGATAGATCCATATTCAGCAGATCTTATCACCAGCTCCTTTCTACCAGCTTTTAAATACTTTGGCAATAAAACAAAAAGCCTAAGAAGTAACTCCCACCACCATAAATATTATGGCAGCCTGATATATTCTTTAGCTGTTGATCACCAATTTCTTGTGTAAGACTGCTCAGTTTGTATCTGGCAAGCATGTATCAGAAGTATAACAATCAGGCAAGGGGCTGCAAAAAGCAGCGGACAGGCTTAAAAGAACATTTGAGTGTCCCCTTAAGGAAAAGCATAGTAAAAGCATGTCACAAAACAGAAGGGAATTCACAGATCACATGAACATAGAGGAACAGAGGTATGGCTTTGAAAGGGAAGTGCTGTTAGAACAGAGAAACCAGCCATAGAAATCTGGGGTCAGAGAATAACTCGTTACTTCAGGCACTTTGTATTTGAGGCTTGGCTCTGACACAACCCGGCTCAGAACGGATCTGCTCCTGGGTCTATTCCAGTATAGAACATTTTAAAGGCCATTGTACAGCTCATGACATCCAGGCTTGAGAGTATGGTACACACATTCATTTTCATCCTTCCTACACTCCTAATCCAGAGATTGTGAATGGGAATAACCATGAACAATAAGCTTTCATACCAGCATTACTTTGTTCAGGAAACTCCCCTGTCCTGAGGGTGATGCTTTTAAGATCCATCAAATTATCAGACTGGATAAGAAGGCTGGAACAGAGCTAAAAAAATCACAGCTCTGCTCTTAAGTCCTCAGACTACAATTTTACCATGAATGGCCTTTTTAAAATCCACAACACACACATGTTCAGAAATCTTATTTTAATCTCGGAAGTTTTCTGATCTGCTGCATTTTGTTTTGGTATTTCATTTCTGTCCAAATTCCAATATGCCACTGATCTCTCAGAAAATATTAACCCTCTTTGAATAAAAATAGATACATTAGAAATAATCAGAAGCCTCCTACTTTTTGCTACACTTAATGATAGTTATTCCTAGGAGACAATTGTTTTTTTAACCCAACTGATCTGCAGAAGTTTCTGCATTGCTGTCAACTCCATACCTATTATTTTCTCCATTTGCTACTGGAAAGAATGACCACTTAGAAGACTAAGTGACCTGTCTGTCACAGAGAAGTCTCTCAGTGTAGCTTGCTTTGGAGGAACCTCAGCTTTCTACAGGTCTGGTTCAGGCAGTTACATACCCAACTTTCTAAATCCCTGTGCCTGTACAACATTCCACTTCATAGAGAGAAAAACCAGAGGAGAAATAAAATGCTATGATTCTGAAAGCTGACCTATGTCCTCAGATATAGCATACAATTAACAGAGATTAAAAGACTTTCAGTTCATCATTCACCTAAAACAAGAAGACTAAAAAAAATCGTCATGCCACTAGACTGCTCCTCTTGCTGTGCTTGGACTCCAGTCTGAACTGGAAGGATAGGCTTGGCAGGTGTAGGTACCACCAGTTTGGTAGTAGCAGCCAGCGTGGTGTGAAGGGTGACATTGATGACTTCATGGGTGGCATTTGCAGATCTGTCAGGATAATATAATATGTGATTATACTGCATGGGAGCAGCACGAAAAAACAGTCTCCTAAAGACATGTACACATGGAACAATCACCAAATCATACTGAATTTGTATTAGTGACCAACACATTAAAGGTTTTTTAAGTGATATCTGATCACAGGCAAATATTGGAAGCTCATATTCACGGAGCTGACAGGTCCTTCATGCACTGCCGCTTGGGATGCAGGTAGAGCCTGGCACAGAGAACAAACTGGCCCACTTCGCCTGCCGAGTGTGACAAACCCGCCGTGTCAGGCTAAGGGCAGGGACAGCGGGACTGCGCGGGCCAGGTCCTACAGAGCCGCTTCAGAGCCGGCCCCCCTTCCCGCGGCAGGACGCTCCTAGACGCCCTGCCGGGGCCCGCGCTGCACCCCTCAGCACAGGGGTTGCCGGGCTGCCTCGCTGCACGTCTGACCGCCCGCAGCCCCGGACACCGAGGCGCTGGGACACTGCCCCCACCGCAAGCCCCTGCTGAGGGAGAAAGCCCTGCCCCGGAGCAGAAGCGCTCATGCTGGCAGGGCCCAGGGCAGCAGGCCGATCCCCCCGCCCGCCACCGCACTCACTCCGCCATCTTGCAGTCGGCCGCCGGCTTTAACCTCGCTCCGCTCTCCGGCGGCGCCGCCACTTCCGGGGCTCTGGGGTGACGGTCTAGCGGAGCGTCCTCGGTCTCTATGGTACGACAGCGGTAGAGGGCTGCGCATGCGCGGGCGGCGGTGCCTGCAGCCCGCGTCCTTCAAGCGGGTGCGTGATGGAGTGGGGGGCTGTCACGTGAGCGTGGGCGCGCGCGCGCGCGCCGGACTGTCCTAGTCTGCCGGTGCGTGGCGGCGCCCTGGCCCGTGCTGCGGCGTGACGTCACGTTCCCGCGCTGCCCGCGCGGCCGCGGCATCGTGTCCTTCTGCATCGCTGCCTGGCGCCGAGTCCCTCAGCCATCATTGCCTGCTGCCATGTCCCTCAGCCATCGTTGTCCAGCTCCTTGTCCTTCAGCCATCGTTGTCCTGCTCCTTGTCCCTCAGCGATCATTGCCTGCTGCCATGTCCCTCAGCCGTCGTTGTCCAGCTCCTTGTCCTTCAGCCATCGTTGTCCTGCTCCTTGTCCCTCCGCGATCATTGCCTGCTGCCATGTCCCTCAGCCGTCGTTGTCCAGCTCCTTGTCCTTCAGCCATCGTTGTCCAGCTCCTTGTCCTTCAGCCATCGTTGTCCTGCTCCTTGTCCCTCAGCGATCATTGCCTGCTGCCATGTCCCTCAGCAATCATTGTCCAGCTCCTTGTCCCTCAGCCATCATTGCCTGCTGCCATGTCCCTCAGCCATTGCCCAGTGCCTCGTTGTCCCTTAGCCATTGCTGCTTGGTGTAGTATCCCTCAGAAGCTCCATGGTCCATTGGCTCCCTCAGTCACCAGTGGCTTTGCACCTTGTCCTTCCCTTGCCATTGTCTGGTGGCTCGCACTGCTTCTGGCACCATTGCCCAGTAGCTCCTTGTCCCTTCACATCAGTCACCCAGTAGCTCCTTGTCCCTCAGTCCTTCCCCAACACAATTGCCTGGCTGCTTTCCCCTCAGCTGCCATCACCATCAGCTCCTTGTCCCTCACCTGTCACTGCCTCGTGGCTCCTTCAACTGCCATCACCCAAGTCTGTAAGTAACCCCTTGTGCTTCAACAGAGCCAGAGGTCCTGGTGGCGTGGGCTTACTGCATCAGAGGGTGTGCTGGAAAGCAGGAGATGGATCCTAGCTTTATAAATGGGACATGTCCAGCGTGCAGCTCCCCTAACCCTTTCCTGCAGGCCAAGCCGACCTGGGTAAGTGCATGGGTGATATGTGGTTAGCTTTCACTGCTCAGCCACACAGTGGGAGCCCAGCCTTGCAGCACAAAGTGTTGAATTAGCATTTATCCGGTTACCATTGAGCTGAAGCAGAAAGCTGCTGCCTCAAAATCAGTGTCAGAATGCTTTTGAATCCAGATATTGTTGAGTTGTCAGCCTTGTCTGGTGTGTTTCAAATGCCCTCCTCTGGCACAGCCTGCTGCTGTGATTTGGGGTCTCTAAGATATCCTGCACATCAGTTTTTACCTGGAAAATGGGCCAATCACCACCTCCCAGCTTACAAAGCTATTCATGGACCCAGTCTGTGAAGGTTTAAGATGCTGGGATGACGGGCACTGTGGAAATAAATAGTGTAACAGCATCACACGCATTTCTGTGTCTGGTTTTACTTCCCCAGGAAAGAAAAGAGACCAAAGGGCTTTGTACAAACAGACATATTGGTTTGTATACCTCAGGTCGTTTTGAAGGACCTTTAGAATATCAACTGTGCACTTTAATCCAAACGAAACTGCAGATTTACGGCACACGAATGCTGACATGTATTCATGAGGTCTGTTTGAATAAAAGTGAGAGCCATTCAAGCAGGTATGAGCATGTCTGAGGTTTAAAAAACAGTGATTTTTGGCCAGCAGCCGTTTCTGTGTTGCAGGTGGGGCAGAGCTGGAGGACATCTGGTTTCTCACAGTGAGACTGAACCCACACCTCCTCCTTGCTCTAATCTTCTGATGTGGTTTTGTGGTGACCTACTTAGTCTCACTACAGCTAGAACCAAAGTGGGTTTTTTCCACACTGGCTGATTTCCGACAATCTGCAGTTTCCTGATCCCCGTCTGCTTTAACTTGTTCTGTCCATCTCAGTAGTGTGTGGGACAGTTTAGAGGGCATGACTTCAGCTTGGGCGCATGTGATGTGGTGCACTTACAGCTTGCTGGTGCCAGCGGAAAATGAGAATGGTGCTTTGCAGCGTGGTGCAGGCTGGTTTCCAGAAGTGATGTGCACATCTCACTCCATTTGAAAACTGAGGGGACTGGCGGCCTCCAACACATCAGAAGCTCAGGCTCTTCTGCTCTTTGATCTCAGTTTTCATGATGCTCTGGAGTGAAGACTGCGAACAAGACTCCATCCATAAATAACGAGGCTTGATCCAGAATGTGTTATACTTACGGTGATGGAAGACAGGAAATCTTGTGAATGCTGGCTTCCTTTTTTGTGCAAAAATTACAATTCAAAGTCTGCCAAGTCTTGGCCATTTTCAGGGTTTGCAAAGTGTGCTCTGTCCAAAAGCACCAGAGGGTATGGAAAGCTGCTTCAGTACGAACAGACTGGTGCAGGTAACTAGATGGCTGGAAGTAGCTGGTTGCTGAAAGCTGAGTTCTCAGTGTTTCCCTTGAGAATTTCTCTAATGCAGATTTGCATGGCTTTAGCTCATGGTAACTTTTGCTGTTTTGCTTTTCTGAGAAGCACAGTGAAATGCAGTAAGTTCAACTGAACGGCATTGGGGTGAGAACGTGGCAGAAAAGGACAGTGGGGACCTTCCGCAGTGCGGCTCGTGTTCTGAGTCACAGGACAGGAAGAAGCTTTGGGCAGCCCAGTCCTCCTGAGCACCTACAAATCAGAGAAGAAGTCACTGATAGGCACCTCTAGAGAGCTCTGGTCCAACCTCCTGCTCAAAGCAGGGCCAGCTTCAGAGTTAGAGGAGGTTGCTCAGGACCTCATCCAGAGCAGTTCTGAAGCTCTCTAAGGCTAAGTCCCCAGATGCTCTGGGATACCTGTCCCCTTGCTGCACCACTCCCAGGGTGAAGAACCTTCTCCCTCTGTGCAGCAGGGTGCCTCTTACTGTGCAGCTCTGACAGGAGTGTCTTTGTCCCTGTAGCTCCCTCTTTCCCTATCTTATAGCTGTGCCTATGCTGCTCTTAAAAGGAATAGTTGCATCCGTCTGCAAAGGCAAAGCTCTTTAGAAGCAAATCAGCAAATGGTGGAAGATGGAGAGCTGTTGCAGCAGTGTCTGTCAGTGAAAGGGCATGGCTGAAGTCCCTGCTGCAATGGGCTCTTGCAGTTGCCACCAGAGCAATGTTCAGTTCTGCACCAGGCTGGTGTAGAACAAAGGAAAACTTAAACCCATCTTTCCCAGTCACTTGAGTTTTGCTTGGTGTGAATAGGTCATCTGGTCTAAGAAGGAAGGGCAGGAATTTTAGCTGGTTTGCTTTTTCTGTGCTTTTGTTTAGTTTTGGGTTTTTTTGATTTTGGCCTTGGCCTTGTTTCTTTTTGCTTGTTTTTGTTCCTTAAATCTTTCATCTGGCATGATCAATGATGAGGAAACTCCACGCTTGTTTTGTTTCACTGGCCTTGTAGCTGTCATGTGCTTTTAATCATGAGGGACTGATGTAGGAAAGGGATGACTGCAGATGTAACTCTTCAGGATGTGAGCTGACCTTCTCCTCACTGTGCCTGCTGGCCCTGGCCAAAGCAGATGGGTGTTGGGGACCATGGGAAGGGTACAGGAAGGATGTGAAAGAAAGGAGGGTTGAGTCAGGAAAGTAGAGGCCTGGGAACCTGAAGAAACACAAATCCAGGACTGAGCCTCACAAAAGCCAGAATCTGAAGGAAAAAAAAAGAAAAAGGGAAAAGGTAGAAGGGGGGTGAGGATCCCAGAGACCCCGTTAGAGGGAGGAGCATCAGAGCATCCGGAGGCATGAAGTGCTGCTGGGTCAAACAACTGTAAGAACAGAAAGCCCCAGGTAGGAGGAGGTGCAGTGGGTCAGCTGCTGGGAATTGTCACATTTCCACTGAAATGAAGTGTCGTCCCTCCGAGCAGCACGCTGTGGGTGAAGTAACCACAGGTGATATCAAATTATAATGTCTAAAGTGTTCTGGATGAGGAGGTGGTGATTGTCATGTCTCGTCTCTGACTCATTAGCAGGAAATACCACTGCTTGCTTGACCTGTTGTTGCTAGTGAGAAGGGGTGATAACTGAGATAACTACAGAACCAAGCACGGGTCTAGCATCGCTGTACAGATGATTTTTCAAGGACTTGGTTACAATAGAAAGTAATAATTTTGGCAGGAGGTCTCTAAGCCTGCTTTTCACTTGTGGTTTCCTGATGCACAGCTACTGAGCATCTGCTGATTAATGCGTGCGCTGAATGTTGCTTTTAATAGATCCCAGGAATTTCATAGTTGTTTAAGCTCATCTAAGATGATGTGGCTGTAGGTAACGTAGTGTTTAGATTTAACTCTTAAATTATACAGAGCAGCCTAAATAGATAGCTATGTGGGACACTGAGGGCAG